CACGAACGCATGTGAAGAACACTTGAACCCCCTCCCACACACACAACCTCGGCGAAAATTTCTGCTACGCCCGTTCCAGATCTGCTTTTACAAGGTTGGCTTTCCAGCACGGCTTTGCAATCTAGTGGCTAAGTGTGCACCATGTCCAAGCTATAAAATTGAACAGTCTCACGTTAGATTAGTACAAATATGGCATTTTGCACAGGTAAGCTGTCTTTTCAATTTTTTTTTCAATTTTTGCTGTAGTTTTCAACATCTACGGTGGTCGCTGCTGGCTTAATTGGTCCAAATTGGCTAATTTATGATTCGGCCTGGCGACAAAAATTTTATGTAGGAGCTATGGCAACTTTCTGGCTACTTTCAACTTCCGTCCCGGCGCATTAGGAGGCCATTCTTCACATTACTTGCAGATAAAACATGAGATTTCCAAAGCTATTCAGTCATATTAGCCAATTCGCTCGCATGCCCATGTTGGCAAACGAGTATCTCACCCCACTGCTTATGCTTCCCTTCTTGTTATTATTTCTGCAAGGCCAAATGAAAAAAAAAATCGTTGAAAAATATACATCATCATCAGCCTGACTACGTCTACTGCAGGACAAAGGCCTTTTCCATGTTCCGCCAGTTAACCCGGTCCTGTGCTTGCTGCTGCCAATTTATACCCGCAAACTTCTTAATCTCGTCTGCCCACCTAACCTTCTGTCTCCCTCTAACCCGCTTCCCTTCTTTGGGAATCCAGTTAGTTACCCTTAATGACCAGCGGTTATCCTGTCTACGCGCTACATGCCCGGCCCATGTCCATTTCCTTTTCTTTATTTCAACTATGATATCCTTAACCCCCGTTTGTCCCCTAATCCACTCTGCTCTCTTCTTGTCTCTTAAGGTTACACCTACCATTTTTCTTTCCATTGCTCGCTGCGTCGTCCTCAATTTAAGCTGAACCCTCTTTGTAAGTCTCCAGGTTTCTGCTCCGTAGCTAAGTACCGGCAAGATACAGCTGTTATATATCTTTCCCTTGATAGATAGTGGCAATCTACCTGTCATAATTTGAGAGTGCTTGCCGAATGTACTCCACCCCATTATTATTCTTCTAGTTACTTCAATCTCGTGGTTAGGCTCTGCGGTTATTACCTGCCCTAAGTAGACATAGTCTTTTACAACTTCAAGTGCACTATTACCATCTTGAAGCGCTGCTCCTTTCCGAGGTTGTTGTACATTACTTTCGTTTTCTGCGGATTAATTTTAAGACCCACCTTTCTGCTCTCCTTGTCTGACTCCGTAATCATGAGTTGCAATTCGTCCCCTGAGTTACTCAGCAATGCAATGTCATCGGCGAAGCGCAGGTTACTAAGGTATTCTCCATTAACTCTTATCCCTAACTGTTCCCATTGCAGGCTTCTGAAAACCTCCTGTAAGCACGCGGTAAATAGCATTGGGGAGATTGTGTCCTTCTGCCTTACACCCTTCTTGATTGGTATTCTGTTGCTTTCTTTATGAAGCACTATGGTAGCAGTTGATCCCCTGTAGATTTCTTCCAGAATGTTTATATATGCTTTATCGACGCCCTGATTCCGCAGTGTCTGCATGACGGCTGATATTTCCACTGAATCAAACGCCTTCTCGTAATCTATGAAGGCTATGTATAGTGGTTGGTTATACTCTGAGCATTTCTCTATTGCCTGATTGATAGTATGAATGTGGTCAATTGTTGAGTAGCCTGTTCGAAATCCTGCTTGTTTCTTTGGTTGATTTAATTCTAATGTTTTCTTTACTCTGTTAGCAATTACCTTTGTAAATAGCTTGTATACTACAGTGAGCAAGCTGATCGGCCTGTAATTCTTCAAGTCCTTGTCATCTCTTTCTTCGATGTATTAAGATGATGTTAGCGTTCTTCCAAGACTCTGGTACCCTTCCCATCAGGAGACACCTCGTAAACAGGGTGGCTAGTTTTTCTAACACAATCTGTCCTCCATCTTTCAGCAGATCTGATGTTACCTGATCCTCACCAGCAGCTTTGCCTCTTTGCATGCTCTCCAAAGCTTTTCTGACTTCTTCTATCAATACTGGTGGGGTGTCATCTGGGTTACTGCTAGTTCTTATAGTATTAAGGTCGTCGTTGTCTCGGCTACTGTACAGATCTCTGTAAAACTCCTCCGCTATTTTAACTATCCTATCCATATTGGTAGTTATTTTGCCTTCTTTGTCCCTTAGTGCATACATCCGACTTTTGCCTATCCCAAGTTTCCTCTTCACTGCTTTGATGCTTCCTCCGTTTTTCAGAGCGTGTTCAATTCTCTCCATGTTATACCTTCTTACATCGCATACTTTACGCCTATTAATCAACTTTGAAAGCTCTCCCAGTTCTATTTTGTCTGTTGTACTTGACACTTTCATGATTTGACGCTTCTTAATCAGGTTCTTCGTTTCTTGGGAAAGCTTGCCAGTGTCCTGTCTAACTATCCTGCCTCCAACTTCCACTGCACACTCCGTAATGATACTCGTTAGATTATCATTCATTGTATCTACGCTAAAGTTGGTTTTCTCACTAAGAGCCGAGTACCTGTTCTGCAGCGACACTTTGAATTCCTGTACTTTCCCTCTCAGTGATAGCTCATTGATTGGCTTCTTGCGTATCAGTTTCTGTCGTTCCTTCTTAAAGTCTAGGCGAATTCGAGACCGTACCATTCTATGGTCACTGCATCGTACCTTGCCAACCACTTCCACATCCTGCACAATTCCTGGGTGTGCAGTCATTATAAAGTCTATTTCGTTCTTATTTTAGCCATTAGGGCTCCTCCATGTCCACTTGCGGTTTTCTCGTTTTCGGTAGAAAGTATTCAAAATCCGCAAATTATTGCATTCTGCGAATTCTACTAGTAGCTCTCCTCTGGCGTTTCTAGTGCCGATGCCATAATCTCCTACTGTCTGGTCTCCAGCCTGCTTCTTCCCTACCTTTGCATTAAAGTCACCCATCACTATAGTATACTGTGTTTTTACCTTACTCATTGCCGATTCCACGTCTTCATAGAAGCTTTCAACTGAAGCGTCATCATGGCTGGATGTAGGCGCGTAAGCCTGTACTACCTTCATCTTGTATCTTTTATTCAGTTTAATTACAATACCTACCACTCTTTCATTAATGCTATAGTATTCCTCTATGTTGCCAGCTATGTTTCTGTGAATTAGGAACCCCACTCCCAGTTCTCTTCTGCAAGCCCCGATAGCAAAGGACGTGCCCATTCTGTAGCACAGTATAGGCCTCATCTGTCCTCCTAACCTCACTAAGCCCTATTATATCCCATTTAACACCCTCTAGCTCCTCGAATAGTACAGCTAGACTTCCCTCACTAGATAAGGTTCTAGCATTAAACGTTGCCAAGTTCAGGTTCCAAAGGCGGCCTGTAGTCCAGAGATTCTTAGCACCCTCTGCTGCGTTGCAGATCTGACCGCCGCCATGGTCAGTTGCTTCGCAGCTGCTGGGAACTGAGGGCCGTGAGTTATTTGACGTATGCATGTGGGAGGTAGTGGCCAGATACTGCACCAGGGTGGCCAATCCTTCTCTGGTGAGGGAGTGCGTTCCCGGCGGTGGTTACCGGTGAGGCCGCACTTCAGGCCTCTTAATGCAGGAAGGCCACTAAGATAGCTCAGTGGTTAGAGCATCGAACGCGTTATTCGAAAAATATACACAGACCAATATAAATGCATATAGGAACTTACATAAATTTTAGCTGAACACCCCCTTTGCCCCCCCCCCCCCAAAAATATTCTCTATTCTATTTTGTCTAACCGCTAATGCCCGCCATCTACACTAACACTCCACACAAGTTTTCCATTCTGATGTGCAGCACATATTCTCGAGTGAAGTTGGAAAGAGACCTGGGAAAAATGAAGCTAGGCTTTTCATCTTAAACAGATTTCACTATCTAGGCCTTGAGTGGTGTTATGTACTAATCAGATTCGATCTGTTGCTTCAAGAAAAAAAGCTTCAACGTTCAGACTTTGCACTGCCTAGAATGTTCCAAAATTACTCAGTATCTGGCTAGAACTCTATTTCAAGTTAATCATACGCAAGGCACCCTGAATTTTTTACGATCCTTTTATTTGAAACGTATTAGTGGCTTGAAGACCAAGCAATAGAGGAAAACTGATCTTATTCAAAATATTACCGATTGCTGAATAATAAAACCTCTTGTCACATAATCACTTCTATTCAACTTGGTTAATATTTCACAAAAAAAAATGATATGGCTACGTTTAGCCATTTAAAAATTCTTTAGCCATCTTTAGCCATGTCCAGGCTACTTTTGAAGTATATCCAACATAAACCCTGGTTACAACTTAAGAAGGCAGGAGCTGCCCTACCTAGAATACGAAAGCGCAACAGCCATTTGCTTTCGCGACTGACAAAATGGTCCCGCTTATGTACTTGGCAATGTACCCCAACTGCAGAGTCGCCGACCGCCCAGCTTATGAACCTCAGTTTAAGTGCACAATCAATGATGCAGGCTTACATAAAACAGCCTTTGAGGTGAAACCACAGCTGGCGTCTAGAAATATGTTTCACTACAGAAGGTAACAAGACGCGGCACACTTTTCTACAGCAACCAATATGGCCCATACAAAACGCGAGATCCATTCAATTTATGTTGATGCCACCCTGCACTTTACATACTTAATTCAGCACATTAGATTTAGCAGAGCGGCTTTACACAGGGCAGGCAGAAGGCTGACCTAGTTGCTTCACCTTCTGCGCCACTGGAATTATTGGAATCGATGGTGTGTAGCAACAAAGCAGCCATGGAAGCCACAGCTCTAGCAACACGGCCAGCCCAGGACAACACCACAAGAAATATGACCACAGTACTGACGTAAATTGCACTGCTAAAAATGGTGCCTATGCCCAAAAGGGTTGCCTTCATGCACTACCACAGATTTTATCAAACCTTATCTAAGCAAAAAAAAAAGCATCAGGTTATGGCTACATGAAAGAGAAAACTAAGAGGCTTAAGAAGCAACCTTTATTATAAAAGTGTTCTTTGTACAGAAAATTGTGGAATGTGACTAGACATTTCAACAATCAGTCTCCCACACAGACAGAAACGAAGCGCAAAGAACGCCTTTTGAGAAAGCACTCTCATTATCACACTCAGAACAGCTACCTTCATCAAAGTAGAAGCAACTCCTAGTTCTTTGAACTGTTGGAACAACACATCTCTTCTTTCTAAAGGAAAGCATACTAGTTCCAAAGCACCTCCGAATTTTTTTTTCTTTCCTTCTTTCTGCTACTCGGCGAGCAAAAAAATAAATTAGGTCTCCATCTTAGTGTCACCTTTGAACGAGAGAAAAAGAACAATGCACGGGTAAATCAGTATCAGTGCATACGCTGCGATTGTTGTTTGAGTTCAGTTCACTTCACGAGGAGGGACAAAGGAAGATATGTCTCCAGCTTGTTCCACAAGATCCTAGGGTGACCGCGCCAGTATCAGCCAGCTGATCACGAAATAGAAAAGACAGATGGGATACACCGCCAGTGCTTTCTTTGATGACGGCTGGCTGTCTGCGAGGAATGCCGTTGATGCTTGTAAAGGAACAAAAAGAAAGCAGTCATTGTTATTACTAGAAATAATAAGGGATGCCAGAATATTTCAGAAGCAGACTAGCTTTCTATATAAAGGTAAAAATGCACTTAGACATTGTTGTTACAATTAAAATCTATAAAAGCATTAAGCTTTCCTTCCACTTGCCTGAAATGAAAGACTATTTACAGATGAACCATACTTGGTGCAGATGACTGAGGCGCAAAAAAATTTTCTTGAAACAGGAGGAGCATGCCAATAGCTTAGGCAAAATTGATCATGCGCATCTTCCAGTGCACTGTAAAGCCTGGGGATGTGTGCCATGGTTTGAGAAAATGGTGATTTTTGGTAGGAGTGACAAACAAACAGCTAGAGAGCTCTTGGAATCTTTTTTTATCAAAAAGCAAGAGCCCAATTGTAGCACTGATACATCTATTACGTTGTATTCCACAGAAATGCAGTTTTTGGATAACATATTGTCTTGAACATGACGCTGTACAGCGTTTGTTGGCTGTGCACACATGCACGGAATTGTCTTCTATTCCTGTGCGTTTCATAGACTGTCATTACACAGTTGGTAGTTGGTGCTGTTCTTTCTTCTCTTCTGCTCCTCCTGTTTCACGAAATGTTTTTTGCGCCTTAGTCATCTTCACCAAGTACACACCAACTAGCCCAAAATCAAGTCCTTTTGAGATGAAGCATACTTAAGATTCACCTCAACTGCAATTTCGTGACAATGTGATTGAGTTACTATTCCACTCGCATCATCTGTGAAAATCGAAAAGCAAGATTCAAATGCAAGTTCCCCAGAATCCATTACATTCAAAAAGGTTCTAATATGAGAGCATAAGGGCATCGATACATTTTCCAGTTCGCTGTTGGTGTTTTAAATCAGCACAAAAAATTAATAAATATGGGCTCACCAAATACAGCCCAGCCAAAGCCAAGCATGGTCACAAAGAAGCGGAGGATGAACAGTCCAACAGTCTGGTTCCCAGCTAGCAGAATGATTCTGCATATGATTAATGCAACACAGGGTGCCAGCAAGCAATAGCCCAGCACGCACACACTCTGGAAGAATGATCTGGGCACAAGGAAAAAGCAAGTACAAGATTGGTAGGAAGTGAGAAGTTTAAGCACACATACTATAACTAGTTCATCAACACTGCCTTTTGCAGCCCTGCTGCTTTATAGTGGAAGATAAAGAAACAAGAGCTCACTCAACACCAAGTAACTACCTAAGGATTCATGCCCCTGTTAAAATATAAATATACGGGAAATGCTGTTATGAAGCGCATGCTACAAAAGTAACATTGGGGAGCACCAGATGACATAACATAATAGGCACACACCGAACAAGCTTCGAGGTTTCCATGCACATTTTCTGGATTAAAATAAACCGATATCCTATAACTATGTTTTGAACAACGCAATGCATTAGTCAACAAAAAATGTTCTAACGCCATGGGCACATCACAGTGATACTTCCAAGGCCAACTTGACTTGACATGCAACATTCACTTGCTTAGCCTGGAACCTGAGCACAGAGGCAGCCGCTCTTTTTTTACCAGAGCTTCTTAAAAATAAGTGAACCTTTAACAAAGGCACTTTGATACTTTCTTTTATCAAAAATAGCTTGGCAACACTGTTACTTCTGAGTAGGCACTCATGAAAGGTTGTCTTTATCACTCAAAACAATAAATTTCATAAAAGTGGCACACAGGAATGCAACCATAATGAGCATTATGCTACTTGATAAACACTACAAATTCTGCTCTTTCCTCAAATGCAGTTAAACAGAAAATGTTAATGAACTGACACATTTGAATATTAATAAGTGCAGTGGTTTTACAAACTAAAAACCCACTGCGATCATGAGGCCTGCTATAGTGGAGGGCTAGAGAAACTACAGCCACCTAGGGTTTATTAAAGTGCACCTAAATCTAAGCACACAGGCCTCGAGCATTTAATTTTCAACAAAACGCGACCAGCGCGACGGTTGAAACCACAGCGGTCGGCAAGCAAGCAGTGTAACCACTGTGCCACCATGAAGCAAGTGCAACAGAAAATAAGCCAAGGCTGGAACAGTATATAAAAACCAAATTAAAACCTTGTGTCCCTGTGTTCTTATCATTTTGTGTACCGTGTTTTTTGCACCGTTCGTAACTATAAACCCACACCACCTTGCCCAACTGGCAGTGCTACTGACCATATTAACAGCCTTAACACATTTAAGCGAAGCTAGTGTTGTGTGACCACCCAGTGGATCTTTTTCCTAGTGAAACCAAAGCCCATAATCACAAATTGCACAACTTTTTATGCAGTAACATCATGCCATAGACACAGAGCTACCACAGCAAGTTACAAAGACTCTCATACCATCTATTTCAAGGTAATTGCTTCTACTATTTCTTCTAAACAGGACTGATGTTAAACCCACAATATAATGACATTTTACCTCACATACACAACTGCATATGGCTTCCTCATTTTCATTTTTACCCTTTGCCAACAACAACCTTCTCAATGAGGCGTGAGACCTTGCAAGTTCCACAGCATGTTCAGTGTTTGTTCTGCTTTGCTACGGTCCTTCTTACCATTCAACACCCTGTTAAGTGATGTACAGCTACTAGCTTCATTGAAATAGTTCTTTGAATCTCGAGAGTACAAAACAACAACAAAAAAAGGTACTGTAACAGTAGAGCACCATTTTTTTTTTGCATAACTTTCTTCCAGGCTGAATTACCTACTTTAGCAACAAAAATAGTAAAATCCATGTCTAAAGAAACATGTGGGGGTGCTATCAGCCCCATGTGAGGTCGTTTGTGCTTCACGGCAAGCGCACGTCTCATGGATAAGCCCCATTTCGGTTTAACAGCTGCCAAGCAGACGATGGCACTGTGTTTAGCACGGGTTAACGTAACCGGCGAATAGGGTAGGCTGGCGTGCAGAAAAAAGAAAGGAGTCTCTTCGGCATTTGGCGGCAATCGTGGATCGACGTCTCCTGTAGAGGATCTGCGAGCCATTTCCTGTGGGTTCTTTGTAATGAGTCTATTGTCAGTGACGTGTTTGTGTGTTATACTGAAATATTGCATAAGGTTGTTTAGCGTGACACTAGCAATGTACTTGATTCAACTGATGACATCATCGTTTGTAAAAGCAGGTGAATATATAAATGGACTTATGTTTGGTTTGCTTAACCACGTCTACTGTGTCTGTGTGTCCCAAGAGCGGCGATTTCATTATAGACCCCAGAAACATTAAATAAATAACCAACAAAGATCACACAATATGCATTTACAATACTATATAAGTGTATCAGCACTAGACTGGGCAGAAAGTTTGTCTCCAGAAGCAACAAAATAGCAGTCAATGCAAAAGTACTGAAAAATGGCACTATACTCAAAAAGTGTGCAACAAAGCTGTGCTCACATCGTTCCTCCCAAAAGTCTGCAGTTCAATGTGACGATGCCGGCACCTAGCCACACCAAGACGAATATCTGGGCAAACTGAGGAGCGCCCCTGTGTATTTTTTCATCATCTGGCTGCTGTAGCATCCTATAAAATGAAAGAGGGTGTAACATATGAACAGAACTTTTCAACTTCGTTCTTTGTGGCAGCACAGAAGAGCTATGGGGCATTTCCATACACCTTAGGCTGGCCAACTTTTTGCATGACAATACGGTACAAAATAAGCCACCAAGATGGCAGTCGTACAAGGCAAGGCACGAAAGTGCAACACGAAGAAACATGAAAGCATGAACTTGCATTGTGCATTTTAATGTATTCAATGCTTCAAAGTGTGCACAAGAACTACAGCATTCTCCTTTCAATGTGTGGCTAGCTGGCATTACTCAACAATTAGGTCATTAATCTAAAAGGGAGCAGGCAATGTGTGCTAGTATGAAGAATGGGTCAGGAAGAAGTGACTTAACTTCTGTAGCAGTTACGTAGTGCTGCTAAGAATTGCACGAGTTTATGTCACTGAAACCAACGTGCGCACTAGAGAGATGCTATTCGCTGCCTTCTTTTTTTTTTTAATAGGATTGTACATCAGGCAATTCACAAAAATAATTTCTATGCTTGGCAGATTGAATGCAGCACAGCATCTTAGAATAACAACAGGAGCATCCTTAAAAAATTGCCATGGCGCTAAGGGTAGTTGTGAGCCTGATCGATATAAAAAAAACTTTTTCACTCGGTGCTGCGGTAATTTTCGACTATGTGTATTAGTTTTAGATAGCGTAGCCACTTATTGCTGAAAAAAAGCATTAGCAAAAACAAGGTACCAGACGAGGAGGAAGAACTGATGCACAGGGTCCAATAACAAAATGTCAGCGATCTATGCAAGTGTCGTTCTTCTACGTCTGGTCTCTTGTTTTAGCTGGCACTGTTTTATTGCAAGTATGAACCAATTAGCCCCAAAATACATTTTGGCCAGTTATTGATCCCATTCACTAACACTTTCACATGCAGTTGCAGCGTCAAATACTCATGCATCCCGAAGTAACATTGGTTACGTTACAGTCTATTGAGATCATATCTGAAAACTGTTTGCTTACATGGCAAGGAAGACGCAGAGGATTAGAGGTCCCCATAAGTCCCCTGCATTAGGAATTCAATAAATATAAATGAATGAAACTTCACTTTATCGAGCGCAAGAACCATAAGTGTTATACTTACAGTCCCTCAAGATTGTGTTTTTTTGTTTTGGATATAAGACATGGGCAAACTTGATGCCAATGGCCTTCAGATCCCTTGTCTGAAAAAAAAAAATGAAGTACATATATTAATGAGAACAATGTAAAGGCCCATAACTAAATAAATAGCTACACATACTTCCAGTCACATGCTTCTACAACAAACACATTCGATAGCCTATTATGATGCCACTATGTGCATTATAAATGTACAGTGCAGTCCACTGTTAGGGGGAACACGCGAGTGCATGGCCGGCGGTTCACGGAGCCCTAACTGCTGGCAAGATTTGCTAATGCGGCGCGTGCATTGATTCATTAAGACATTGCATGCCCCACATTGTCTGTTAGTTTTTTGCACATGCGCTTGGCATGCGCTAGCGAGCCATGATCCTTTGCGCTTTTTGTTTTCACACTGTAAATTAACTGGTACTGACTCCTGCATTTTTAATAAGCCAATACTTCATGGTCAGCTGGATGAGCTTAGAATGTTCGCTGCATCAGACTTCGATAGCTTTATCTGTTATCAAAAGTGGCCAGTTGCAGCGAGCAGCAAGTGAAAAACGTGATTCACTTTACGGTGACAACTTGCGAAACACTGCAGCAATAAATAAAGCCATACATTTTTTGTGCTTGCTATAAATCTGATAAGCAGCAGGCAAAATGACAGCCAGATGAACTGCACGGCAGAAATACAGAAAAGCTTTCCAATGCTTTCATGCGCACAGGCAGAAAGGTGACGGACGAAACTGGCCACGCTCCACCCTAACGATTTTATGCGCAAGTGCTGCATTTACAATTCTCGCTGCCCGTTAGCGCCGCATGGCCTGCCGACCACGAACTCGCACGTTCCCTGTAACAGTAGACCATACTGGGCCAACATGCGACTGCAACAACAATTTGCCGCAAGCTTCTCGTAAAGAAAGCTATATTTGGCACTGGATATGTGTCTGCTGCTTCCAGTAAAAAAAACTAATGAAGTGTAGCTGCAACTATAGGACGTAAAACAAAAGCATCTGATTTTCAATTTATAGGGTTTCCATGTTACCCCCTATTGGGATGCCTATATGAATGGTTGTAAGGCATCCATATGTAGAAAAAGCAGCACATACTAACAAGCTCACATTTTAGAAAAGAAAAAAAATCAACAAATGATATAAAACGTGGAGCGAGGGAAATATTGCACACGCACGCAAACATCCTTTTTATGCTACGTGTTTAGCCCAGAGACATTTTCTAGAGTCTGAGACTGTTTGAATTTTTCTATTACAATACTTTCTATTACAAAACCGAGCTAATACTGTCAGATCTCACTAGCTTGCTCCGTAGCACAACCCGAGTATTTTGATGATAATCGACCGGCTTGGTACCGGCAGCAGACTAAAATCAGAGCGCCTTACGATAGTTGTAAGCACTGGTTCGTCAAGTGTGTTGAACTCCTTTTCTTCAGAGGGCGTTGCCACAGCGGCAATGTCGCCTTCCAAGGGGGTTTCATAGTCCTGGTAAGGGGGTCTTTGGTAGCCGCTTGAACCAGACTGCGTGTGAAAAGAGATCACGGATCTAAGAACGAGAATTCGATTTCGCATTCCAAGCACATCACGGGTACACTACTGACCATTCCAAAGGCGTATGGGTTCGGCTGCTCTACACCATCTTACCACAACAACGCCGTGACAGTAGTACTTTCTGAAACTGTCCGGGACAACAGTTGGATGGCATCAGAAACCAAACACGAAACGAAGTTTGCACCTACGACTATACCCTATACAGCGCTCTCAGCGACATGATCGGCTAACGCAAGACAATATACACGTGTTCCGCACTAAAAGCCCAACAATCAGGACTGGTGAAGTCCGTTAGCGTATAAGAATAACCGTTGACACAATTGTTGACACGTAGAAAGACCGTACCTGCAAAATTGCCTTGTGTTCAGCCATATTGGCTACCAAGCCAGTGCTGCTGAGCCGCATTCTTTTATCATAATGCACAGCAACTTTTGTAACAAAAACGCTTTATTATTATTGAAGTAACTTTTTAAACAGAATGTTGCCAAGGTTTTATTCATATATATTGTTTACGTTAAACAAATATCATTCATGTGTGTATTTGTTGCTGGATTGATCTGGATAGTTCTCACTATTTAAGCCAGAACAGAGGCGTTTTGTAGCCATTAAGCAGACGATGTTGTTGATCGTACACGATCGTCGGGCGGTCGCAACATCGAATGTATTCTAGCCCTACAAAATAATTATATAAGGCGGTGCTTTATCGCTCGTCCTTATGCATATTCGCTCCTCTTTATGCAAATGTGACCTAATAACAGAAGCTTCGTACAGCCGGATACATATCTACGTGTGTTTGAAGCGCTAGTACACCAACAATCATGAACTACGACAGCCTTCGTTCCCCGTACGAAGACGATTTGCATGGACAATGTCCTCGCAAGCGTCTGAAAGGCGAACATGGTACCGAAACGGAATCCGAAAGGCTGCTTCAAGAGATGCTAACAAAACAGCTTGACACCCGGTTTTCCGTCAAACAGTTGAGTGTTAATTAACAGCGCTTTTGTTAATCTGTTTGAGCGTTATGCATGGCTCTCACTTTTGTGAATTTCTTCAGTCTTTCAGAGCAGCAGAAACACTTCACAGCTGCCGGGAACTATGTGGAACTCCCTGTCGCTGGCGCTCGCTCTTTGGATGAGTACAAAGCAGTCGATTCACGTGAACAAGAGATACAAGTATTGCTGAAATGTGGTCTCACGAACGATGAAATCGAACTATATCTCCAGTCAAAAGACTCTGCGGTAAGTTGGATGTTGGAGGTACTTTGCAATGCCTTGTATATTTAAGGACAGTTATTGAAACGTCGAAGTAAGTGCGCCTGTTTACAGACACAGAAGCGCATGCTAGACCATCCGAGAGTTATGGTTCCCGCACATATTAAGGCACCCTTCCGGTTTCGTTTGCTCAATGCCAATACAACGAAATCGCCTGTATAGCGAACAATGGCTTACGTACAGGCTATATTCCGAGCTTTACGGTGCGCGAAATTTACAGCGATGTAACGTCTTGGTAACTAAGTATTGAGAAGGATACCAGGGCTTCGCTAAATGTATGTGCATTATCGAGATCAAGCTTAGGTACCCTAACAACTTACAGAGCTAATACCTTTCAGATGGTAAAGCAAAAGCACCCTTTGATGGATCCAGTCATGCTGGATTCGAGGCTGAAGCATATAGAGTCAAAGGTGAAGAATGGCCAGAAGTTCATTGAAAATGCCTGCTTAGACCAACTGAAGAGCGAAGAGCACTTTGCTTACTTGGGGATTGATGGTGCCGGCACATCGTCTTTGGAGACTATCACCTGCACGGAGAGTTCTTCCTCACAAACGGCACTTCCTAAAGATCCCATGAGCCACATCGCAGAGTTTTTGCAGAGACTGATGGAAAGAGTGATGAGCAGGAGAAGAAAGAAGAGACAAACTGAACCAGAGCATTGCCTGTCGCATACAAATGAAGATGAAAAGCAAGCACCAGATAAGAGCAGCGAATGTGCTGAAGGGAAGCGTCGTCCAGACCCGACCATCTATCATGCTGTTGTGCCCCTTCCCGAAGACGAAATAACAGCGGAAAGACTCGGGCTTGACGAGATTAAAAAGCTGCCACGCTTCCATGATTACAGTCCAGGGTGTGAAAGCCAAGTGAGTTGAAAATTTCACACTTTCGTCATTCATTTTATAGCCGAGAGGTGAGCATTTTTCTTTTAAAAATCGAACATACACTTGTGTAGAAAAACTTATATGAAGGCAAAAATAAACCACTGATGAACACATTAATGAATTCATAAAGTATACTGTTTCACAAATTAATTCATTCATCTCAAACACTAGCATGCTTCAAATGACCTTACTCTACGTCACATAGGCTTTATAATCATTTTAGCTTTTCGTGCATTTACTGTTCAACACGTGCATTCGACAGCCGAGCACTTCCATGTGCTGTCCGATGTTGGAACTCTCTGCCAGATAGAATCGCATGTCTAGAAAACACTAATAAACTTTGTGACACATTGACCAGTTATTTGGCCAAAGAAGCGCAAAGATGTTTGCCGTTATAGCAGTACACCCTCTATATCATTGTAATCTTTCTTTCTTGTTTCTTTAATTCATCATCTTATAAATCAGTAGTGTCGCTTTTTTTTCTTTCTTCTTCTTCTTTTTCAAGTGAGAACCAAGTCATTGTATAAAATCTCAAGTTTTCTTGTCTACATTACTATAGAGATAATACCTCCTGTGATTATTACCCTAGTATACGTTTATCTTTGCTGGTGTTGTGATTTTTTATTTACCAGTACTGCCGTAACTACTTTTTATTGCACTGCTCTTTGTCATTTGGTTTATGAATGCTGTTCACCTATTTGTATTTTGTAAACATCACTGAAATGCACCTTTCGTACTGCCCCCTTACACTATGCCTTAGCAAAGGCCTGTAAGGTACTTTTAAATAAATAAATAAATCAACAAGTTGGAGCTTTCTGATTCACTCTCTGCATGCATCAGAGGTCCCAAACATGTGAAGTGTGATATGCCACTGTGTCAGATGTGATGGCATAGATATGAGATTTTGTTGACCATGCTCTATTTTAGTGAGAGGCACAGTTCAACAAAACCTCGAAATTCAATAATCATACATTTCAGTGTTTTTAACAGAGCAGAAATTTGCTATGCAGACATAAATGTAAGAGCTCTACAGCAATACAGCATTGCCTACACTTCCAAGTTGCCAAACATGAAGTTATGCAACACATCTCAGACAGCATTGCTTCTCATTCAATAATACACTTCACATTTAACATTTACTTTTGATGCTACTTCAAGAGAAGAGAGATAATATGTTGACAAAGCATTGCATCTCCTTCGCACCGATCCAGTTTAATGTCTAGGATTGTATGAATCAATTTCTGTCTCTTCTCCCATAATAGGTAGTCATGAGGTATAGTAGCAGCTTATGTGTGGCCCCAATAAGCTTTTGCCATAACAAAATTCTACTGCACCACTTTCCTTTGTGTTTTTCCCAAACACATTTCACAAACGCAGGTGCTGTACCTGAAAAACCTGCACCACAAAACAGACATTCGAGAACTGATGGCACTATTTTGCCGCTTCGATGAGGAGGCTTGCCCAGTGAAGTACAGGCTTTTGTCTGGCAAGTTGAGGGGACAAGCATTTATCACTTTACCGAGTAAGTGCAGTGCCCTATTGAACTTAAAGACCGAGGCAAAGGAGTCTCTTCATCAATTTCTTTTTGTTGATATTGCAGATGTACAGGCTGCCAAAAAGGCACTGGAGCTGTGCAATGGATATGTTCTAAGAGGAAAGCCAATGGTCATAGAGTATGGAAAAAATAAAACAAGAACGGCTTAAACTAGTCTGTGTTTAGTGTTCATTTTTCTCTCTTTTATCTTGTGCAACTGCGCTGCCACTGCTGTTACGCACCTACAAAGGCACTGTTATGTGCAATTTTATGTATATGTACAATGACAGATAGTAGATATCAGTGAAATGTTTGCAACATCTTTTTATACGTCAACCATAATGCACCTCTTCCAATCCTATTGTTAGAAGTCTTCAGACAGAGAAAAGAAGCCAGTAGAGCATTTGCTTTCGGTTTAGACTCATAAGCAAACAAAGTCACAGTCATCTGAATTTTTTTTTTTTTTACTTTTTGGTCACTGTTTCAAGTTTCCTGATGCCAGCATGCTGCATAAAAAGGTTCCAACACTGCCTTGAACCATGAAATGTTCCCAGCAATGAAGTGCTGCCAGTCTAAGTGTACAATTCCAATGTCGTCTCAGCATACAGCAAATAAATTTTTATGTCTATGCTAAGAACACATGCCAAGTGAATTTGTTTACAAGGTTACAAAAACACACTCTCCCATGCGATTTGATTTCATAAGCTCCAGCAAAAGGCTGCTATCCTTGCGACTGCCAATTTAAGGCCTAACTCGTTTATTGGATTTGTTCTGTACATGATCAAAAAGAATAAGGAAGGTCAAGAGGTCCAGCAAGCATCACTAGAAGGCAATAATAGTTCACCACAAGCTACATTAACATAGATTGTTTATTTGTGGCTGTCTACACAATGAACTTGTAATGCTAAGCAATACCACATCAACATTTAAGATGGTGCTCTATGATTCTTTTGCAGACTTTATGGCTGAATGCAGCCGCAACAAAAAGTTTAAAATTCTAGTGCTGTGCACTATGATGATTCGGTTTTGAGCCGCTCGGTCCAGTCATAAGGCTCCCACCACTTGGCAAACTCCAGGACTTTTTTCTTTTGCTCGTCAAAGCTCTCGTGTTGTTGTTTCAGCCAGAGTCTGGGCTCCGAATCCAGCATGCCACCCACCACTTCCTAATGTGTGATACAAAAGCGATACGAAAATATATGCGATGTCAAGCACAATATACACAGTAACTGCACTACCCAATAACGCAATCACCAAAAATGTGAAGTTAAGAGGCATGCACCAGGAAGGAATTCTTGTCTATTGAATGAGGCGTCTCTAATAAGCAGGGTACGATGTTTGTATGTTATTACATACCCCTATTTGTACTGGGGCCCACTGGCATCTCTTATACCCATTTTTTTCTTACATCAGCGTCTCTTATAAAAGGGTTGGACAGTATCGATTCCCTATTCCCACAGAATGCTCTTGCACTTTGCTTACAATTGCCAAGAGTAACAAAAAAAATAGAACGCAAGAAAGTTTCAGGTAAATTGGAACTAAATGTTAATTACAGCACTGAACACAGCAGGTCTTGCTTTTACACTTTGCAGAAATAATGTCTGGAAATGTGTATATTGAATCATTGTCAAGCGTGCACTGCGTACAATACGCCGGGCTTTGTATGTTGTTTTTTTCACAGCAATACGTTATCTAAGGGACGTTTACTAAACAATTAATCTTTGTTATGTACATGAATTGACAGTAAGGAAGTTTTAGTTTTGCCACCCAAACTTTCAAATGATTCAAACAGTGATGTGTCTAACACATTGTTATATTACACACAGTAATATACCGTCTCCTACAGCTACAGCCTCTTACAACATCAGCCAAACAATATTGCTAGTTTCACAAAACACAGTGAAACCTTGGAGATACAATCATAGCTCGTATGAATTTTGGCGTGATAAATTTTTCTTTGATCTCTGGCCAAGGTTCATTAGCCTACAATGTAATTACGTGTGGTTTCGGTGAACTTATTTTCACCCCGCTACCCATGCTCTCACGCAAAACGCAGTAATTCTGCACGCGTGGTAAGCGAACCGTGGGCATGTGCACCCCGCCTTCAGCTGACCACTAACGGCAAATCGTAGCCCCCGAGATTGTGCGCACAAATCTCAAAGGCCTTAATGCGTCTTTGTGTGTATTCGTGCTTAGATTCCAAATGGCGTTCACATCTCAGTTATATTGTTTTTCTTCTTCCTCGCCTCCCCAGTGTGTCGTCGTGTTGTGTTAAAAAACGACAGTCACGTGCATTGCGAGTCATGTCGTGGCAATCAGACGTCATAGGAAAGGTGGATGAGGACCAGAAGAATAAGTGGGTCAGCAGTCTCAGCAAAAAAAGATAAAATTTTCTGTCTTGCATTTATTGCGTGAAAAGCACTTTTTCGGTCATTTTTGCCACAGTACCTTGGTGCCATGCAAAAAGGCGTACTAAAGTTTGGAAAGGGTGGATCACAACACATATGGTTCATTATTTACACATGCCTACATTCACAAGCACAAGTACGATCTTTGACATCTAAAAACTTTACTGTCAATAATTTCAAGCTGTTTATGACATTGTTGCTGCCTTGAGACAGAATATGTGAAAAGGTACACCCACTTTCTTTTGTTCTGGTGATATGAATTTCAGAGCCTGATACGAATATTTTGATGACCCCATGAGATTCGTATCACTGAGGTTTTACAGTAGTTCTGCCAAAAAGCAGACTTACTAATATTATTTTGCACCACAACCACTACCTTGTCCACAAATAGTACTCTTGAAGCTTTCAAGGTTTTTGCAGCACAAAGATTGCCTAAGGCACGATATTTTCAAGCAAAGGTCCCTCATTCTATAGCTGCCTAACTCTTGATCAAAGCTTGTTAGCTGCCTGATTAGTCGTTTGACACCTGTCAAACGCTACCTACCGCCTAGCACAAGCAAAAAAGTGTGGCGCTGCTAGTCGCCCAGAAAACCAATCATCTACATTTGACTCAGATATGGCTATGTGATGTTTTTCTTCTGTATGCAGGGATGCAACAGCCGAAATAGAATTTATAGCAATTTTCGGAGCGGCAAAACTTTGCTGTTGGAGCAGCTTCCAGGAAAAAAAAAACATCAATATTTTATCACGAAAAACCAATTTTGGAGCAGTGAAAACGAGAAGACTTACATTTCGAAAAAAATATGTACGAATCATTCGACATCACCTGAATCATGCAGAGTAAACATGAGCACTGCTACTTCAATAAAAGTAGTATTTTGAATCACACCACTGAGCAGACAACCATAAAGCCCACATTAGCATTTGCCACATCTTCTAAAGGGACCGACAACTGCCCAGAACATGAAATGAGAGGACTGCAAAGATGGAAAGATTGTCTTTTATAGTGACTCAAACTAATCCTGTTTTTCTTGTGAGAAGTGAATTTTTATTTGTATTTCTACATTGAAAATTGCAAAAAATGACCTGTGGCGTCTCTGGTGGCAAAAACATAAACTATCATGAATGCCCTGTCACGTGACCGTGTGTACACGGTCAACAATTTATTGATTAGTACTGAAATATTGTTTGATTCTTTATAGCAAAAGATAATATTTTATAAAAGTATATGTAGAAGCTTGCGTTAGTAGTATGCATTGAAATGGCGCTGCCTTTGCGTGACATATGCGCAGTTCCGTTTTTGATTACTTGACTTTGCGATGCTCTATAGAGCCACACCGTCTCATTGTAACAGCTTGTTATTTTCAAAAATAATTGTAAAGCGCAGAATAAACGTGGTTAAGCATAGTCCCAGGAAATCCTGTGAAATAAAAACAACAACAGCATGCATAAGCCACCAGAAAGGCTACCCGCTTTGCTATCAATACTCAGCGTTCCGGATGAAAAGGCACTACCGTGTTCAGAGCCTTCCAGATCGAAAAATACTGCTTATAAAATGACTACGACCTCTTCTGAATAACTACTGCAGCTACGGTCTCTACGAAGGGTAAGCTTTCTGTCTCGCAGGAAAAAACTGGATCGAAAAAAGTCAGTTGTCGGTCCCTTTAAATACTTTGACACCTTGTAAAATGAAATGTGAACCTGGCAAGCTGGTGACCTTGAAAATCCGGGGATTAGTGAAACTGATAGTAGGGGTGTCAAAAAAAAAAAAAAACTGGCACACAGTTTTTTTTAACCGCCAGCAATGTCATACACTGCTTCAATTGGTTACCCGTAACATCTTTAGAAATCAGCAGTCATACAAGTACTCAGTTATGTGGTCTATACATGAATAAGCAATTGAACAAAATGAGCTGTGTTAACGCTAAGAGCCCTTTCTAAATCATGATACGCTTTTCCGCAAAGCACTGGCGTATTGCGGCGAAGGTCTGGCATTTTTGTGCAGCATGACCAAATTTCAGCAAATTTCATGCTTTTGGCACAGCTTTGCGGAGAAGGGGGTTTGTATCAAATTAGCGCAATTGGCGCAGCTCTTGCACCCTTGCTGTATGCATAAATACACTGTAAAGCCCGAATCTATTTCGACATTGCAAAAGCTGACCACCCAAATGACTTGCCTTTCCAAAGTAAACTGGAAAGTCTTTTTCGTCTTCAATAACATGAGCAAATCCTCCTTGAAGACCGAAGTCAACTGAGAAGTAGGGCAGGCCTCTGGGAATCTGCAATTGTAGGAAGGGAAAGTAGGTGGTAATTAAGTGGCATAAGTAAGCAGGACGACTACTGTCTACTGTTTATAGGTCATCAATGAACATTCGATGCTACGGAAGGTCACATTCTCACACAACAAAAATGAATCTACTTTGTAAGACTTTGGTATACATAAAAATATGAATAGCAATGATTAGCCTATTAATTAGATTAATTTTTAACGTATGACAGGAGCAACATTACAACGTTACATTACAACATTACAGGAGCAACATTACAATGTCAAAACACAGCCAGAGCTTTCTTCTTGGTACGGAAAAAAAAAACACACCCGGGGACACCCCTGCATCCTTTCAAAGTGTGTAGAATTGTAATTATTGTACCGGTGCACATCGGCGCTAGCTCTGTTCCAGTGAGAGAAAAGACGACGATGTTCGTGTGTCACGCTCTTGGCCTCCTGTTTTCTGTGCTGCAGCTGTCTTGCTTGCCCTGGCGAGTTTCTTGCTGAATCTCCTCCGAAGAACATGCTTGTTACATTTGGTGAAGTGCAGCTGGATCGTTCCCCTTTTCGTCCTGGAGCTCCGCAACCGGACTTTAAAATCTGCCCCCGAAATGGCCGAGGACGCCGCTCCTTCCCAAGCACCACCTACGATCATGTATGCTGGGACGCTTCGTCCACATGACCCTTCGATGTTCAGCGGCACCGACGAACTTGATGTCGAAGACTGGCTTGTAGAGTTTGAGCATGTTAGCAGTGCCAACAAATGGGATGACCCTGCTAAGTTGACATGCGTCAGCTTTTATCTGACTGATGTGGCGAAGCTATGGTACTACAACCATGAAGCTGAGTTCACCACATGGTCAGCATTCAAGCAAATCATCGCTTCATTCTTCGGTCAGCTGGATTGCGCAAGCTTCGCGCCGAACATCGCCTTCATGCCAGAACCCAAAGAAACAATGAGACGCTTACGAGTTATATTGAGAACGTCATCGATCTGTCTAAGCACGTGAATGCGTCTATGGCGGAGTCTGACAAAACAAGGCACATACTAAAATGCATAGATGACGGTGCATTTCATATGCTGGTAGCCAAGTGCCCTCAGACAGTAGCGCAAGTCATTGAACTGTGCCAAAGATTTGACAAGCTGCGCAAAGAGCACTCTTCTACCCGCAGCGCCAGAATTCCCACAGTGGAACTCTCATCTTTGGAAGCTAAGAGCACTGGCGCTGAATATTCCACCAAGCAGTACATCCATAAGGAAGTAGCTCGTCAGCTCTCTATTGTCACGTCTGTCACAGAGAGTCCCACGGCACTGAATCACTCACTCCGTCGTGTCATTCAGGCTGAAGTTGCTGAGGCGGTTCCACCTCCTGTACCATCAACGCAGCCTGCAGCGCTTCTCATCTATGCTGAGGCCTGGGAAGACTACCACACAACATTTGCCAATTAGGACCGGACCTAACGCAGGACCATGCTATCATCTGGTGCCCGAGTCACACAGGACTCGATGGCAATGAGAGAGGGGACGGCGCAGCTCGTGCTTTAACCAACTGAGCGGCCTACCACTCCGACGACAGCCCCTTTTTACCGTGAGATATCCTTGAAAACCAATGGCTTGAGCGACGAAGGTACAGTGTACCACACACAGCTTTAACTGGGCGGTACTTTTATGACTGGCATCGTATACGAACAAACAGATATCCAAATTTTTCGTTGAAGCATGCCATCACCCTGCGATGTACAGCGATAGTTGTCCATGGTGCAGAGGCAGGCCCACTCTCGCACACATAACGTGGGATTGTCAGAACAGGCCAACCGAAATTAACTTGCCGCAGATAGCCGGCAAAATTTCCGTAAGGGAGCAGTGGGAGACTGCTCGCCAGCGAGGATCTGGGGGTGCAACTAGCGCTCCTCGACCAGGCGCAGCGAACCGCTAAAGCCAATGGAGTCCTGGAATAGGGGCCCCACCCACATGCTCTCTGTATCTTTTTTCCTTGTTTCTTTTTCAAATAAACGTTTTGATATATATATAATGAGGCCGTTACCCATTCCTATGCTCGACCGACGCCAACACCATCCGCCCCAGTCACCAACTTCTACTCGCCACCATGCCCTGTTCACTCAATACGCCCTGTTCTCGCGCAACCCCTCTCGCCTCCAGGACCACCTCACAACCCTTGGCGCACTCCCGACAACAGGCCCATCTGCTACGCCTACGGCAATCCTGGCCATGTTGCGCGTCACTGTCATCATCAGCGAAGTCTTTTATGCCAATGATTACATCCCCAACCTTGACTACATGCCACAGCAACCAGCACACCCTGTTTCCGCCGACTCATCGGGCGCTTATTCGCGCCGTCCCAGTTCCCCCTCACGTCGATCTCCTCCTCCCCGGTGCCGCTCCATTTCTCTAATGCTCCGCCGTACCAACCCCACGCAAGAAGAAAACTAAGAGTCGCAGTTCCTGAGGCACGAACTGCGCCTTTTTCAAAAATTTCACGGCCTCATCTTTCGCCTCGGCACGAGATCACGGTTATTATTGATGGTGTTGCGACGAACGCTCTTGTCGACATAGGAGCTGCCGTTTCTGTTTTAAGTGAACTTTTGTGCCACAAACTGCAGAAACTGACAACACCCGTTTCTGATTACGGACGGCGAGCTTGCAGCACGTTGAGCCTGTGGCGGCGTGCACAGCACGTCTTTTTATCAATGACGCATTCTACATTGTGGAATTCGTCGTCCTACCACATGCGTCCCATGATGTGATTCTCTGTTGGGACTTCCTTTCTACACATGATGTGGTCGTTGACTGTGCTGGAGCTCGACCCGCTTTGTGCCCTTTCAGTACCACAGTCATCGACGTCCCGAACCCAGTGCCTAAATTGGTTGTCACTGCTGACGCTATCATTTCTCCGTTCTCTGCCACCCTGGTGTCTGTTTCCTCTGACTCTGTTTGTGATTTGACTGCCTTGTTTACACTATCTGAAGACTGTGCACGCCAACGGAACCTCATACTCCCATTTGCCGTCGTTACCCTTGTGAATGATGCCGGCGTGGTTTATGCGTGCAATTCCTTTCCTCGCTCGGCAACTCTGTTACGCGGCGAATGTGATGGAAATTTAGACAGTTTTGACACCGTCTTCCCTTTGAATGCAACCGCATTAAGACACCGTTGACGATAAATTCCGTCACTTCCGCCGTGGCTACCACCTCCCCTGTCCAAGACATCCTCCTACGTAGCGTCGATGACGCGCTTACGCCGGTCCAGAGCACAACGGTTGTTCAACTGCTTGAACGCTTTCGTGTCTCTTTCCGTGTTGGCCAGCCATTATTGGGGCGCACATCTGCAGTGGTTCATCGTATTGACACCGGTCATCATGCTCCCCTGCGACAGCATCCTTGCCGAGTATCGCAGGCAGAACGCCGCGTTACTCGGCAAGGACGCTGTCAACGTCGATGACATGCTGAAACGTGGCGTGATTCAAGAATCGAACAGTCCCTGGGCCTCTCCTGTCGTGCTGGTACGGAAAAAAAGACCGTTTGGTAAGATTTTGCATTGACTACCGCCGCCTAAACAAGATTACGCGGACGGATGTTTATCCCCTACCCTGCATCGACGACGCCTTGGACTGCCTTCAAGGAGCCGAATATTTCTTATCACTGGATCTGTGCTCAGGCTACTGGCAAGTTACCATGGCTAAAGCCGACCGTCTGAAAACAGCGTTCATCACCCCTGATGGTTTATACAAATTTAACGTAATGCCTTTTGGCCTTTGCAATGCGCCTGCTACCTTCGAAAAGATGATGGACACCATTCCCAGAGACCTCAAATGGCAGACCTGTTATGCTACTTGATGACATAGTGGTTTTTCCTGCAGATTTCCCATCTGATATCGCTCACCTTGAACAAGTTCTCGAGTGCCTCACTAACGCCGGCTTGCAGTTAAACCTAAAGAAATGTCATTTTTGTGCCCCTCAGCTTACCATCGTAGGCCACGTTGTCTCCAAAGAAGGAATTTCGCCAGATCCTGCCAAACTTCGAGCGGTTGCCGAATATCCTAAGCCCAGCACTCTAAAGGAACTCCAAAGCTTTATTGGGCTGTGTTTATATTTTCGGCACTTCATTTGCAATTTTGCCTTCATTTATCTCCTTTGACACAGCTTCTCGCCAGCAGCAACGACCTCTCAACTTGGAATACTGACTGCGATGAGTCTTTTACGACGCTTCGACTACTTCTCATGTCTCCTCCAATTCTGCACCACAATAATCCCAACGCGCCTACAGAAATACACACGGATGCTTGCGGTGTCGGCCTTGGCGCAGTATTTGCTCAGTGAAAACCAGACTTTGGCAAGTATGCTGTAGCATATGCCAGTCGTACCCTCACAAAGGCGGAGTCAAATTACTCCGTCACAGAAAAGGATTGTTTGGCAATTGTTTGGGCAATCGGTAAATTTCACACCTACCTCTATGGGCGTCAGTTTGATGTTGTTACCGACCACCATTCGCTATGCTGGCTGTCGTCCTTGAAAGACGCCTGGCTCGCTTTAAAGACGCCTCGCTGGGCTTTACGATTACAGGAGTATGATATACGTGTAATTTATCGCTCTGGACGAAAGCACTCGGACACTGACGCCCTATCTCAGTCACCACTGCCTTCTGACTCCGTCAGCTCACCAGCTTCCACTTGTTATTCATCATCTCTGACCATCACCGACATGCCAGACGAACGGCGCAAAGGTCTCTGGATCGCTTCCCTGTTTGGCATTTTGTCTCAACGGGCCCTGTTACGACCGTAATCCCTATTGAAGTCTTTCGGCGTTTGTGAACGGGACAAAAATATTTTAACGCATTCCAAGCAAAGATGTGTCGTCAAGACGGGTTGGTTTCCTGTCAGCAAAACGTAAACAAGGGGTCCAGGACCGGTTCCCGCAAAGAAAACGCACGGGCCAAGAAGGCCATTGTGAGCTCGACTCTATGCAAGGTTTTCGAGGCAGACAAGGTGGCAGCTGGGCCATTTTCGAGGTCACCGAGGATCTGGAAATATCGGAACCAAAGTGGTATTTGCAGTTTGGGCTGAAAGCAAAAACCAAACTGGCTGCGGCTGCACCTTGCGAGAAGAAGCAGAGCCCCGGATATTCGCAGCTAAGCCGCAGCTTCTAGGAAACAACAAGGAATAGAATGTGGGGTTAAAGAAAAGGATAATGCACTATCTGCTGCAGCCCTTGTGGGAGCCCGCCTCCACGACGAGGAATTAGTTGACTACCCCTCCTTCCTCCTTTTCTCCATAGGATCGGCTGAATGAATGGAGTGGCATATTTTGACGATATGCTGGCACACCACTACATTGTCCTACCCAAACACAGTCAGGCAAGTTTGACACGTGTACTGGCAGCCAGTTTTCCGAACCTCACCCAACTGCCAGAAACCAAGGTCATCTAAGATCATTGGACGTGCGCAAAATCTTGGTGACGTGTGCAAAACGTCGGTGCAGTGCGTTTGTGACCTTATTTGGGCATCGTGTAGACTGTGCCCTCTCCACATGCATTGTGTGGTGTCTTTCCCCTACTTCGTGGGTGGAGCACCTAGACCATGAAGTGCCCTATTGGCGGAAACCAGGGACAATGCACCCAGGGTTGGCAACGAGGCGCTATATAAGCAGAAGACTTTTGTATATTTGAAGTTCTACAGTTTAACAGTTCTCATGTACAGTTCTTGACTTCTCGTGCTCCTTTCGAATTCTCAGTTACTAACCATGTAAATAAATTGTTGTCGTTATTACGAGCGCCTCATCTGACTTGTTCCACGATGGGTCCTAGGACGGGGGCCCGCTACCAAACTGAGACCCGCGGGACCCGGAGTCGCAACAGCCCCAAACTCTGCCTCACACACCCTACGTCGTCAAGTCCAACACTTTGCATTTCATAAAGGCTTGCTGTATCGTCGCAATTACCTGACCGGAGGCTGCAGGTGGCTCCTCGTGATTCCCCGTCATTTGCGCGCGGACATTTGCAGTTCCTTCCACGACAACCCTCAGTGCGGTGACGCTGGCTCGTTCAAGGCATACTCGCGTCTTCGCCTGAGGTACTACTGGCGAGGCATGTATCGATACGTTCGCCGGTACGCTCAGTCGCGCCCTACGTGCCAACGTCGCAAGGTTCCTACTCACAGCACTGCTGGTCCTCTACAGCTATTGCCCTGCCCTACCCGACCATTCGATCGCGTCGAAGTCGATCTCTTCGGACCACTCCCGACCACTATTGACGGCAACCGCTGGATAATAGTCGCCAGCGACCACCTCACGTGGTACGCAGAAACATCTGCGCTGCCAGCCGCCACCGCAAAAGGCGTCGCGTGGTTCCTTCTTCGTCATCTCATTCTGCGCTATGAGGCCCCACGTGAATTACTTAGTGACCGTGGCCGCGTCTTCCTCTCAAATGCCACCGAGGTTCTGCTCAAAGAATGCCACATTATACACAGCACCGCTTCCGCATACCATCCTCAGACTAATGGCATGACAGAACACTTCAATTGTACCTTTGCCGACATGCTGGCGATGTACATGTCGGCAGACCACACAAGCTGATTGATTTGTGGGGTTTAACGTTCCAAAGCCACCATATGATTATGAGAGACGCCGTAGTGGAGGGCTCCGGAAATTTCGACCACCTGGGGTTCTTTAACGTGCACCCAAATCTGAGCCCATGGGCCTACGACATTTCCGCCTCCATCGGAAATGCAGCCGCCGCAGCCGGGATTTGAACCCGCGACCTGCGGGTCAGCAGCCGAGTACCTTAGCCACTAGACCACCGCGGCGGGGCAAGACCACACAAGCTGGGACCGCGTACTCCCTTTCGTCACCTACGCCTACAGCTTTGCATCTCAAACTACCACTGGCTTCTCTCCCTTCTTTCTCCTGCATGGACATGAACTTTCATGTTCTATGCGACACCATTTTGCCGTACCAACCGGAAGTTTCCGAGCCGAGGGCAAACCCATCTCTCAAGCTGCTGCTTACGCTAGAGAATGCCGTAAACTGGCTCGCTCGTACACCAAGCAAGATCAGTCGCACCGAAAATTCCGTCATGACACCTCTGCGTCTGATCCCCATTACTCCCCGGGAAAGCTGGTGTGGCTTTCAGTCCCGTCGACAACTCCCAGACTTTCCACCAAGCTTTTGTCACGGTACCACGGTCCTTACCGCATACTGGAGCAGACATCTCTCGTAAACTACGTCATTGAGTAGGTCGACCCATCGCCCGATCATCGCTGCTGAGGCCGCGAAACAGTTCACGTCACGCGACTTACACCCTGCTATGACCCACCTATAGCGCTTTTTTTTTAAGATCACCGCCGCCAGGATGGCTTCTATTTTTGCGGGGAGGAAATTGCACCGGTGCACATCGGCGCGAGCTCTGTGACAGTGAGAAAAAAGATGACGATGTTCGTGTGTAGCGCTCTCGGCCTCCTGTTTTCTGTGCTGCAGCTGTCTTGCTTGCCCTGGCGAGTTTCTTGCTGAAACTCCTCCGAAGAACATGCTTGTCGCATTATTTTTTTATACTGCACAAATTTTAGTCCACAAATACAAATACTTAAAGCCCTAGAAATTAAGGTTGCTAACCATAATTGAGAAATGATGAAAATGTCTACAGACTTTTGCTTTCGCACAGCAAGAGGTACATGTCATGCTGTAACATTATCAAGCAGAATAATTGATGTCTTAGTGACAGTTGCAGTTACATACTTTGAAAGCTTGAATAGCAGACAATGTTCTCTACTAGTACAACCAAATAATTTGACAGACTATAGGTCCAAATAAAGAGCAAAAGATCGAAATGAAATGAACGTACCGAGTTTCGTAGGCCTTTCTTCGACAAGTCAACAAGTTTCTTGTTTTGGGCCCACTCCCTCTCACATTCCATTATGGCTTTCTGAAACATAGACAGTATCACGTAAATAAGTTTATCAGTGTTCAAATTTGCGCGATGATAACAGCTATCGCGTACAAAGCAGTTGGTTGCGCTTGATATGAAGCGCACTGAACGTCAACTTTACATGCACAGTTTTCAGACATCTGCATTTTTAACTAACCTTGAAGTACATTGGTGCCAAGTTTCCAACATCCAAGGGCACCGGTATGCACTCTATGACTGCATGTGGGTGATGACGAAATGCGACGGCAGTCTCCATAAATACAGTGTCCTTTCCCATCTCCTCAAACATCTTTGTCAAACCTTTTCGAAACACCTAGGTAAAAATATAACTTTTTTAAACAGTAAATATATCCAAAAAGGTTTTTATATGTAAAGAGACGAATGCAGATGACACTGCAAGGAGAAAGTCCTACAGCTGAACCCCTATTTAAGACACAGGCACCTGGGAGTAGTTATTGTCCCTTACATAAGGCGTCTCTTGGAAGTAGGAAACCACATCCTGATTTTCTGGTCAACTCTTATTTCAATATTGAGCACAAAGGTGTCTTTTATAACCAGTTGTCTCTTACATCAGAATCTCTTATGAAGGCGCTCAACTGTGTAGACTTTAATGATACAATGGCCAGACTGTGTGAAATGAGTAAGGTATGTAGCCTGCTTTGATCCCCTAGCACTTTCAAGGAAAGTATGAATAGCGCACTTCGCATTGTAGCAGCATGCATGGAAAGCCCACCTGAGGGAAACTTGCTATCCAAATTACTAAGTGATTTCTTTCACAAAAAGCTGAACAGTGACATTTTCTATCTGGCGAATTCAACAACAGAGATTTTGCTCATATCACTGTTCCGTTTGTTCCCAGATTTCCCCCTTATGTGACATTTTTGGGTACATATATGTTCACATCGCACATGACACTGTACTCGTGGTACATACGACAAAAAAAATTTTAACCACTGTCTTGGTCGTGGATGGTTTCATCACCTGTCAGCAACTAAAGAAAGCGGTGCAAATACAGAAAGCGTCAGCAAAAACTTCACGGCCAAAGCTACTTTGTCTTTCATGTATCAATAAGGCGAAACTGTTGTATGAATTGATAAAGCTGAGAAGAGAGCAACTTCCGTCAATGACTGTGATTCTGTTTAAGCTGGTCAATGCTGCAGTAGACTTGAATCTTGCAAAGTGGTCGAACTTAAGACAAAGATTTGTTAGACCTTCGAATGACAGGGCAGAGCACTAGGTATCCCGCAAGGACTATGATACAAAATGAGCGGTCTTGCGTTCGAATGCATCATTGAAAAATCGAAAAGAAAGACTGGTAATAAAAAAGCATGATCCTTTCCTGCTAACAGTACTAAAATCTCAAGTTGGTTACTAAAAACGTCCTTTTAAGGAAATTGTAAAACTGATAATTATGTAAACTTGTCAGCTTACCTGCACCTCAAGCCACACATCTTCGTCGAGCAAAGTTCCACAAGCTACGTGTGCTTGTGGGACAATTAAACAGTGCCCCTCAGTCAACGACTGATACGGCGGTAAGCACAAGTAAGCCTGAAAATAACGTGCAAGAAGATACAACATTACAAGCAAACACGGAAAGGTACTACCCGAAGAATAAAAACAAAGCAATGCATTCAATTAACTAAATTAGACACTATATGATCATTTCAGCAGAAACCGATCTCTGTCACAGGACTCTGCTTCAGATTACAATAAACTCCTGTCAAATTGAACTGCTCAACAAGGATAAACTAGAGCTGCTTTACTGCAACTCAGGAGAATAACATTTCTTGGAAGCTGCTGATCTCAAGAAACTCACAGTCATGAAAACTACCATTTTAACTGTTTTCATGCCATTAACAGTTTTAGAACTATAGAAACGAAATTAAAACGCAGGGAAATGAGTTTGCAAGCTGCACATGTTGTCAGGGAATATATGCAACAAACGGGAATCGCAAGCTGTACTGGTAAATGTGCAACTCACCCGGATACCTATGGCGATGATTAGGTGCTTCTTCATTTCACGGCTGTCGATGCAGTATCTACACTTCTCCAACGCTTTAGACATGTGCTTATGCTCTGTTAAGAAAAAAGTTAAACAAAAGTATTTCAAGTAAATCCTAGCAAGCAATCGACTGTGATCTGCATCGTATTTCCGCAGCTGTAAATGATCAATGGAATGCCCCTGTTCGTCACTACTTGGGCCTTTCTCAGTGATCTGCTAGCATCCTACCAAACAGGGAAGCTGCAGCAAGTTTCCATGACTTCACGAAATTGTTGAAGCTTGCCGAAAACCGAGGACAGGTGAAAACAGGAACAGCACTTGTGCATCTGTCCTTTTCATCTTTCCCCGGTTTTCATCGTGTACTATTATCTCCGAGTTCAAATGGCAGAGTGACCACCAAGAGAGGCCTTAATGAAAACTACCAAATAACGAAACCAAGGAAGGTACAGGAGAGGTTAGCTGTACTGTTTTTATGTGTATTGCAGTATTTGTTATAAATGTGAAGAAAGTAGGGTGGACGAAAAGACGACTTGCCGTCGGCAAGGACCAAACCTGGAACCTTCAAATTACACGCCCCATGCTCCAACCAGTTGAGCTACGGTCGTTAAAAGCAATGCACAATATTTAATTGTGACATAACTCGACATGACAGCATAGTAAAGTGGCTTGGGCAATGTGGCGAGAAATGAGCACTTCCAACATAGGCGGTAGCCACTTTACACAGACAGCGCGAGTGGCAAGATGTGCTTCCGCGTAAAGTGTTGTTAGCAACTTCACAATACAACGCTATGAACAGCGATATGCTATCAAGTTTTGCTTGAAGCTCAAAAAAAAATGCAGCCGAAATTTTGTGGAAGCTTCATGAGGCCCCAAGAATTACTGCATTTTAACGTCGCATTCCAGAAAGTAGTGCAATTGATTGATTGATTGATTTGTGGGGTTTAACGTCCCAAAACCACCATATGATTATGAGAGACGCCGTAGTAGAGGGCTCCGGAAATTTTGACCACCTGGGGTTCTTTAACGTGAGAAAGTAGTGCAAGGTGTTCAAGGAGGGCCAGAAGGAAGTTGGCGACAAATGCCATTGTGGATGCTCAACAATCAGAAACAATGGAAATTTGAATTATGAGCCTGAAAATTGAGCCTGTCCTGCAGGGAGAAACTGCCAGCGCTGCAATTTATTGGAGGTGCTCCAGAGATGGGAACACAGGTTTACGAGCATGAGGATTGACATCAAGGACGTGGTCAAGCTCCACCATGACAATGCCCTCAGCCAAATGACCTTTATCGTTACAAAGTTCATGACCCACAGCAATGCCCAAGTGGTACCCCATTCCCCTTGCACTCCTGACTTGGCTCCGTCCAACTTTATTTCTGTTTCTTCTACTGAGAAGAAAGCTGAAAAAAGCATTTGGAAAATGTTAACAACATCAAAAAGCATGTTACAACGTTCCCGAGAGATTTTCCCGTCAACTTTCAGGATACCTTCCAGGCATGAAAGACATGCCTCTGCAAGTCTATTGATGCAAGGAGAGAATCTTCAAGAATTTCAATGATTTGCACAGGTCCCATCAATAAATATACTTTTCCTATATAATGCACGCAACTTTTAAAGCAGACCATGTATTTATGTGCACGAAACCTAGGAGTGTAAGTCAGCACTGCTTGTTGCTATGATGGTGATTGTGGAATGCTTTTTTATTTTGCCAGATGGTGTCACATAGCATGTGTACCTTTAACAAGCAGACAGCTGACCAATAAGCCCTCACATACTACCTGAAGGCGTCACGCCTGCCAGGATGAGGCCCTCGCTATGAATGAAAGGAAACTTTGAGTGTTCGATTTGTGCCAGCAGCAAGTTGTCTTTTCATCCACTTTACTTTCTTCACATCTTTCATCTATCACAATACATTTAAAAGCTGTGAACATTTCCTAATCTCCTATACCTTCCTAGGCTTCATTATCTGCTGCTTCTCATTAATGCTGTGTCAAACAAAGAAATGAGCACTCGAAATTCCCTTGCTTCATTCACGAGGACAGGCGTTAGTCCCAGGTACAATCTCCAAACGATGGAGAGTTTTTTTTTTTTTTTTCAATTGTAGAAACTTCTTTCTAAAAGACCAGTCTGGGTTTAATTTGTTGCTTATTACTGTTCTCAGATGGATGACAATTATTTTGTTCTTTTCACATATCTCTCTGAATCGTGCAGATGTCCTTAAACCGAATTCGCCACCTTTTAGATATACAAGTGCAGAAGAGATATACAAGTGCAGAAGAGGAATAAACATGACGCTACCCTGAATAGCTTTCATTCGGTCCCGCGCATCTTGCTTCGCAGAAGAGTCATGCTGACTCGCTTTGTCCATGACAGCATCATCAAAGTCATAATCCTGGCTTTTCGAGGTTCGTACCTGGACAAAAATCTCCTCATTATAAGCACATCTCCAAAAGAGAAAACAGCAACATCAGTGCAATGTCTGCATGCATACCACCAAAGTAGCATCACCTCACCTTGCCAGCGAGACGTGCAAACTCCGCGTTTTGATCTTCTGCCGTGGTCATTTTCTCCCGCTCAAACTGGTGGCATAGTAAAAATGAAATACAGCAAATTTTATTGAACCACCAGAATGCACTTGTAGAGCAAACAATTGGGGAAGTTGGTTAAAACTCATGTTAATATCAATGCAAGCAACACAAGTATGAAGGAAGACCAAACGAGACATGGGCTGTCCCGCTTGGTCTTGCTTGTTACTTGTGTTGCTTCTGCTGGGTACATTTGAAAGTGGCTCACCAAATTTTTGAGAGAATGTCGGTCGTCATCGGCAAAGTATCGCACTCGTTCGCCACCTCTGTCATGTGTGGGGACCTGCGAAGAACAACAAATCCCCTGATCTTACTCCGATACTCGGCATAGTTGTATGAAGATGATCCTGATGCCTGATACTGACGTGACGTTTGTGGCTGATTTTCATGAGGCGCTCCATTCACTCATAAATGGCGTCTCCAGTCACCAATCATTGTGTTTGGCGACTTCAATTTTCCCTCCATAAATTGGTCTAACCCTGACACCCCCATGTCAGTGGACACTGCTGAAAGCGACTTGACTTCATCAACACCTGTCTCCTTTTCGGACTGACACAGCTTGTTAACAGGCCAATACGTGAAAGCCTAAATTCATCTAACATACTTGATCTCATCCTTAATTCTCAACTCGTCAAAAATTTCATTATTGCCTTATGTGTCTGGCCTTAGTGATCACTCTGCACTCCATGCTTGAGTTAATTTTATTATTACTGAAACCCACAACAAAAAAAACTAAAACTCTTCATCGTAAAGAAAACTAGGCTGCTATGAACATAAAACTAGAAAATTTTTTCGCAAGTCTTCTTCTGACTTTGAGAACACTCCGTCAGTAGGAACCAGCTCCTGTTTAGAAACGAAATGCATGCCTTGATAAATAGACATGTACTTACAGTAACAGTAACAGAAAAGAAGTCATCACCTCAATTCAACTCAATGCTAAAATGCTTGAATAACAAAAAAAAAATTATACCATGCTGCAAAGCATTCCAACGAGTGTGCATGGCATAATTATCGCACTGCAGAAGAAACATTCGAATCTCTTGTTAGCAAAACCACACTACCAAACATGCTTCACGATAACTTGAAAAAATTCTGCAAGATTCTGAATCTTAATCACTCACAACCATTGCCCCTACTTCGATGACCAAAACCAGCCCATTTATGACTGTGAAGCTGCAAAAGCACCTGTCCACACAGTTTCTTCCGCATTTACTAATGTACCTGCTGATGACCTACCGATTTTTCTGCCCTGTGGTCATAATGCTATGGCTGATATCACCTTGAATCCTGCAAGCGTCACAAATGCAATTGACTCTATATTGTTTTTATTATCGGCAGGCGTCAATGGCACCAACTTAGAAATTGTAAAATGAACTAAGTAAGTATGCCATCAGCGAAATGTTGTCACATCTTTCGGTAGTCATTATGACTGGGAGAGGAACCAGATGACTAGAAAGTCGGCAAATTGTCCAAGTCCTGAAAAAAGGTCCACCGTCTTCATGTCCTAGTTACCGCCCTCACTAGGAGGTGATTGTTCTAAACTAATGAAACACAATATACTCACACACAATTAAATTTCTATTATCTGTTAATCTTATCACTCCTAATCAAAATGGATTCGGCAAAGCTTTTTCTCGTGACACACAAATAACGTTGTTCATTGCTCAAATTAGCCCTAACCCCTATTTAAACGTTCCAGTTGATGCTCTGCTTTTTAATTTTTAAAAGGAATTCGACTAGGTGCCACATCAGTAACTACATTTGAGACTTTGTCGCACCTTAATCCTTTTGTTTTGGACCAGATTTGTGCTCTTGTGGCTGATTGGGAGCAGTTTCATCAGGCTAACAATCACTTTTTAAAAAGAAGCCCTGTTCGGTCTTGGGCCCACTCCTTTTTTTAATATATATTAACGATGTTCCCGCCAACATCTCATCTAACATAAGTATCTTCGTAGATGATTGCACCGTTTACTGCCCTATTTATAGCGATGACTACCAGTAACTTCAAGAGGACCTGGATAACGTCGCTGCTTAGTGTGCAAATGACTCATGTCACTAAACACTGCTGGTTTCTTTTATCAGCCCAAGGAATCTTCCTCCATCAAAGTGCGTCCTATGCAATGCTACGATTTTTCCTGCCAATTCATGCAAGTACATCGGCATCACTAGCTCCAGCGATCTTTCCTGGTCCTTTCACATCACAAAAATCATTAATGAAACTGACATGAGATAATTTTAAAGGCAATTGCACCTTACACCCCTATCCGTCCAACTGCTAGCTTATCAAATGTGAGTTTTGCTCAAGCTTGGAATATGCATGCTCTCCTTGGGACCTATAACAATCCTACCTTTCTAAAGCGCTTGAAGCAGTACAAAAGCGCACAGCTCGCAACATTTATTCATATTACTCACTTCATACTAGTATTACAAAACTAAAATTGGAAGCACGTCTTGATAGCCTGGAACTAAGACACCTAACATAGCCTGGAACTTAGATCTAGATAGTGCCTTTTTCCCAAGTTTTGCCATTCCCCTCATAGCACTTCATTAATCTTGCCCGTTTGTCATTCGTCCTGCTGCACGAATCACACAAAATCACTGTGCCCATCACTGACACAGACCGCTGTGCACCTACGCTGCTTTTTAGTGAAGACTGTAAGGGACTAGAACGCACTACTCAGAGAAGCAAGCCTTCAAGTTTTTGCTGAATCATTGTCACTAATTGACAGCCCATCCTTAACGTAAAACCCAAGCTGGCACATATGAGGTATTAATAAACAACAAAAAAGAGTTGCATGAGTGTGTGGCATACTTTTGCTTTCTTTCTCGATGGCCCACCAACTTCGGATGGCTCCGAGAGAGGATGCGCAAAGCCACGGCCATCTGTCTTGGTCAGGATGACCACTTCCTCGCGAGAGCCACGCTGTGCCCCATCGGGACACGTGGATGCCCCGGCAGATTCCCGCGCCTTCCTCGCTTCTTCAATTTCATTCTTCAGTTTTTCATATAGTGCCGTGTTTCCCAGCATCTCTGCTTTTATGAGCTTTGCACCCAAGGCATTCAGCTCCTTGTCCGACAGCAGTTTGGGGGCAGCACGCTCCTCTCTCTGTGCAACCGGATCAGGCTCGTTTTCTCGTTCTGGCTGCTCGTGTGATCTGGGGCTCCCCTGCTGCCTCGGAGGCTGGCATTCCTCCTGCAAGCAATCCCTTCCCTTCTTGCTGATGTCTTGCTTCTGCTCATGTTGTCGGTCTATTAAGAGAATGGATACAGCATATTTGGCCTGCTAGTTCAGTGGACTTTAACACTGTGTAAAGCTCTGCCGAGAATAGGCCTAGTGACAAATGTTTAAGGACCCCTGACACCAAGAAATGGAACCTTAAGATGTTTGTATTGTTTGATTGTCCTGTATACGGGCACACTGCTCACTGATTATTAGGCTAATATAGTTTAATAAATAGTTTAGGCTAATATATTAATATTTTTAATATATTTCAGCTTTAGGATATTTTAATTTGGTCTTTAAAATAAGCGTGAGTGCTCATCTGAGTTGGCAGCACCTCAAGACATCGCGACGAGTATACTGTAGAGCGAGACCCCATGTGCTATTCCGCAAGTAATGCGAGTATTGTCAAAGTCAGACAACATTTGCAGGGAACACACAATACACCGACAGGCCAAGACAATTGTTTGTCACCCCTTTCCCTCTGTTTTCAGGCTGATCTCAAGGCGTTTCTGGCTGCTTGTGCCAAGAAAACTTTTCTTTTTTTCAAAAGGAAACATGGTCAAAGCATCCACATCATTTCATTTTTCACCGCACACGGGTACCCCGATCTGAAAGCGGCGCATTCAACATCACTGAAGTTTGTGCACACATAGTCTCAGACACTCTCCTATCGCGGGGCACTAGTTTCTTATGGTTTTAAGGCGGGCATTTCAACCTAGCACAATACTGTTCTCAATTATAAATGCTAGCATTAATTATAACTTGCACTAAAGCATTTATGATTGAATTTTAGTACTACCAGGCACAAAGATACGAATTGCAGTAAAAATTCCAGAACAAATCTTTCAATGTCAGGGGTCCTTCAAGAACATGAGCCAGTAGAGTGAAGACAAAATTACAGAAGTATAACACACCCCTCGAACTTTCTCCTTTTCCTTTCATGTAGTGCTTGTCAAAGGGGTACTGATACAATATGACTTTATTTTTTTGTGTAAGGAATGGTACAAACTTACTCAGTCTGAATAAAATAGTGTTTAATCAGTTATAAGAATGCATGAATGTAACACAAGGATACAGTTGGGGGAGATAAGTCTGCACATTAACTTAAAGCAATGTATAGTAGCCAATGAGCAACTTGGACCTAAATTCGATCGCCCGGACTGTAGCCTACATCAAATTTTTAAGACTGCTTAGTAACTGTAAAATAGTCCAGAAAAATGAATGCATGCCTCTTTAGTGCTCTAGAGGGCTCAAATTTGCGCAGCCACATCTGAAATAGCTCTGAATATCTGCCAGCGCTCCTATCAGGTATCTCAGTGCTTGTACGAATACAGAGGATTGTGCAGATGAACTTTAGCTCATTCTTAATGAAACAAAGGTAAACAAAGCCTAGTAAAGGCCCCTTTATGGAAACTCCTTTTTGCCAGCTGTTGAGGTCTCACTTATCTTAATCACTGTCACTCCCTCCACAGTGGTGTGACAGGAAATGGTGCATTTTCAATACCGTTGGAACTAGTGCGGGCCAAACATCTCTGCCGGGATAGGCAAACTTGCACAAGTTGTGGAAGCCAACCACTAAAATGAATTTCAATCTCAATCAGGCCCGGGCGCAATAATACGTGTGATGTACGACATATTTACACCAGCGAAAATGCGTGCTACTATCTGAAACATGTTTGCTCGAAACATGATGCTGCGTCTGCAATGCGACATTGAATGCAGCTTCATATTGCAACCAGGAGTGCAACAGCAGAAATAGAATTTGGAGCAGCAAAATATTACTTTTGGAGCACTAAAATCCAAATTTGGAGCAAGTCTCAAGAAAAGAAATAATTTTTTTATGTCACGAAAGATCAAATTTGGAGCAGTATGAAAAAAAAAGGCTTACATTTGGAAAAATAATATGTGAAAACCATTCAACATCCCCTAAATTGAGCAGATATTGAATATGAGCACTGCTATTTCAATAAACGTAGTACTTTGAACGAACCCAATCGGCAAACAATAATAAAGTCCACATTAGCATTTGTCACGCCAGTCAAATCCTTCAACAGACTCTGAGGATATAAATATAGATCTGCTAATTTGGCGACCTTAGTGGGTGGTGAAAAAAAAATGGCACACAGTTTTGTTTCATATCATTAGGGCTGCAGAAATGTTATGCAGCACTCCAAATGACCGCCAGTAACTTTTTTAGACGTCAGTGATCATATTAGTGCTCATAATTATGCAGCGTATACTCACATGAGTGAATGAAAAAACTGTGCTATGTTCCATGAATAGTGCTAACAGCCCCTTCCAAATATTAAAAAGCTTTTCCACAGGTCACTAGTGTACTACTGCGAAGATAGCTAAAGCAACATTCTGCACGGGTTAGAACAAGGCCAAGGGGGAGGCCCCTGCCCTCCCTCTTTTTTTTGCGATGGGATTAGGTTTAGGGCGCAAATTGTCAGCTCCCTTGCAAGGCGCATTTCACTAGATAAAGTAACAACGGCACGCGACCGTTGGCACAACCAACGGGGTCGCCGGCAACCCCGGCGTTGCAGCACTTCGAGCTCGCACGCAGTAACAGCGACATACACTTCCAGCTTTATTTCCCAACATGCCACTGGCAGGTTTGCCGACTAGAAAATTCATATTTTCTGTGAAGTGTTGCTGGTTATGGCAAAGCATTTTTTGCCTTGAAGTTGCGCCTTCCCTCCGGCGGATATCCGCTGTGGTCGGTGAACCGATGGGCATGAGGACCATGATTTATGGTTAGGATTGGCGCGCTTAGATCCCTGGACCAACGTTCATAGAATGTTACCCTGGATTGGTTGAGGATGCAAACTATAGATCGCCAACGTGGCCTACCTTTGTTGCTGAAGCTAGCACATGTACTTAGAAAATTTCGAGGCTGGTTGGGCATTTTGGCGCAGTGTGGCACGATTTTGGCAAATTTCATGGTTTCGACGCAGACTGGTGCAAAAATAAAAATTGAATCAACTTGGCACGGCTGTTGCACCCCTGAACAGATCAAGGAACAAAAAAAGAAAATTGAAGGTTTTTCTTTTCTTTTTTGGTAGACACAGCCTTAACGAATATTAGCAGACAATGAAGCAAAGAAAGGCAACGAAGATGTTACTTGCAGTCTTTTAACTGTGGTGTAGTAATTCCCATATGTGCAGAAATGAAAGTGGACAAAAAAACAACTTGCCGTCGGCAGAGACCAAGCCTGCAACCTGTGCATAACATTCCCTTTACATTCCTTGGCTTCATTGTCAGCTCGTATTTATTAACAGATCAAGGAAGAAGATAACCTTTTGTGTCTTTGTAGAACTCTTTTTTCATCCAGCTGGGCTTTGAAGATGATGATGATGATGAGTGCTCTCTTCTGTGCCGGTGTTTGCCACGGTGGTCGTCCTGATCAGAGTTGTCATCGTTATCACCTGGTCGCTGGAATCTTCCCCGTTCTTCAGACCACTTCTTGGACCCTGATGACTGACTGTCTCTATCTGGATATTAAGTAGGTCGTCGACCAATCAGGACTTGGAAAAAATAAGATCTTGGAGGAAAGCACGAGAAATTTATATTACTTACGTTTTTCACGATGATGTGATGGTCTCTCCATTTCTTCATCCGAGCCCGGTCTTTGCATTGCTCTGTGACGCAACGGTTTTTCCCTCTCCTCATCTGAGCCCGGCCTTTGCACTGCTTTGTGACGCGACGGTTTCCCTGTCTCCTCATCTGAGCCCGGTCTTCGCATTGCTTTGTAACGTGACGGTCTCTCCCTTTCCTCATCCGAGCCCGGTCTTTGCATTGCTTTGTTACGTGACGATCTTGTGTCGTCATCTGAGCCTGGTCTTTGCATTCTCCCATATCTTCTGGATGTGCCATGCCTTCCATGATGCCTGTCACCAGTTGAACTAGCCCTTGACTCAGCTTCCGCTATCATGCTCTCCAGTTTCTCTAAAGACTAAAAAAAATAAAAATTAATGTAGAGGCTACTATACAAGTGATCCGTATACAAGAGACAAACCATTACGTGTTTTCCCAGGCTTAAAACAACCAAAAGCAAGCTTCAACTATTTATAAAGAAATTTCCGAGGCATCCGTGAACAAGTCTTGGCTATAGACCAAAGCACACCGATCTCACACACAGGTGCCTCGGCTCACAAGTGGCATATTATCGCACCAGGATGCCATTTTGTTCAGGAACGCCAAGGAGTGTATTTAGCGTGCCAAGTTACCATGGCAAGAGGCAGCTCTGAGATATTAAAATGTGTGAAAGTGCCTGCCCACACCACCCCCACTTACAAGAGGTCACCTGGGCACCACTGCGCCATCTTCGGGTATGAAACTAATCAGCGCAAGAGGAACATATTGCTCGGCACTGTCTGTGAAGGTCACAACACAATGCGGGAATCGTGCCGGTGTGATGCTTCCAGATAACCAGTAGCAGAGCCATTAAGACATCTTCACATTTAACTTCACTAGCACACACACAATACTGGTTCCAAGCACGTGTAAGCTCACACACTGATCTAAGTTCTACAAACAACTAAGCACTATGAAGTAGGTCTTCAAGCAAACTTTGACACATCATTAGGCTTTTGTACACGTGTGCAAGAGTTGCCAGATCTGCTCATCATAAACAAATTTGGGCTTCTTTTCTTGTCGAGTCACTTGTGAAATTTTTCAATCACTTGTCAGATTTTCTGGGCTTATTTGCATTTTTTAATACATTTACAATAATGATCATCAGGTTCACCAAAAGCATGTTATTGATGACCTTAAGCAGATGAGAGTTGAAGTCCAACATATCGTCACGGCTAAAGGCCGGGCAAGAGGACGACGAAGTGATGAGCGTAGACTGCACCCACGGTTGCTCCGAGAAAGACGACGTCGAAGCGGCTGCTCCTTTGTTCTGTCAATACAGACCTTGTCTTTCCTGGTCGCACCAGCGTCCTGTATCCTTTCATTTTCACGTCGCGACATTGGTGGAGATGCTGGACTTCTCCAACTGATGCTTGGGACACCTCCGCGCCCTCACACTTCGAGTCCGCCACTGCTACCCGTTCCTGCAGTGGATACTCCTATCCACCGCTACAGTCGCCGACAGCAAGGCCTTAGTCCCGAGGCGATCCCCCTCGAACTTCTCCAGCAACACACCGTGCCTGGAGAAATGGCTACTGGAGGGCCTTCACAGCTTACAGTTGAGCAGCCTCAAATTCTCGAGACCTTTCACGGTGAGGTCTATGAAGACGTTGAGGACTGGTTAGCCCAGTATGAGCGAGTCGCCAAGGCCAACCGCTGGCCCACTGAAAAAAAGCTATCGCGCGTCTACTTTGCTTTGGCAGACAGCGCTCGTACGTGGTACGAGAACCACGAGTCAACGCTGTCTTCGTGGGAAGAATTTCGGCAGCAAATTCTCGGGACATTTGCAAACACCGACCGCCGGGATTCTGCTCTGCAGCTCATGGAGGCAGGCATACAAAAACCAAACGAGAGCGTCGCCATGTTTGCGGAGGACATGACCTGCCTATTTGGGCGGGCTGACCCGGAGATGCCTGAAAGTAAAAAACACCGACATCTGATGAGGGGCGTCAGAGAAGGGCTGTTTGCCGGTCTACTACACAACCCGCCAACAAGCATAACGGAATTTATCAAAGAGGCTACGACGACCGAGCGAGCACTGCAGCAACGGCGCCGATACCACAACCAACCAAACAACACATCTCCCAGCCTCTCTGCTTTGACTGCGAGCAGTGAGTGTTCTCTGTGGGAGCTCATTCGTGAGGAGGTCCTAAACCTCCTGGTGACTCCGCAAGAAAATACCGTGGCTTGCGTTGCAGAAGTTGTGCGGCAAGAACTCCGCCAAGCATTTTCGCTGCCCGAATCGCTTTCAGACCAGTGGTCTGTGTGCCACGCACCGGCCGTCCGCCAACCCCCTCCAATGACGTACAACTCGACACCACTGCCTTATCGCGACGTCAGCCAAGGGCCTTACAACGAGCCGTGGGCCCCAGCTTCCAATCCACCGCTGCCGTATCCACAGCCTAACGTACCTATGCAAACTTCGCCGACATCTGCATCTTGGTTGCAAAGAATGCCCACCAGTCGACCATTCATTCGTAAGACGGACTTGTGGCGCACCGTCGACCACTTTGCTCCCACTGCGGAGAAGCCGGCCACGTTTTCCGCATTTGCCCATACCGTGACCATAGACATCAAAACTTTCTACAAACCTCCCCTCGTGCTTATTTCAATAACCGCCGTTACAGCAGTGCAGGCCCGCTAGCCCAGCAACCTTATGTGCCGTATCGCCGACCCCGCTTTCCTTCTCCTGCACCTCGGCGTAACTGCAGCAGCGCAGTTACGCCGAGGTGATCTGGGGCAGATCCCCTAGCCCTCGTTGGGGAAACTAACAGCAGCGACCTTTGGGGGGAAGGTTGCCGCCCGTCGAGATGCTATCACACCTCCAACATCCTCACTACGACGCGATACGACAGATGATACCACGGATCAAATGACGGACGATACCAAGGACAATATGACGCCACCTACATCAACGGAAATCGTAAGCGCCAATCTAGACATTTCTATAGACGGATGCCCAGTAACCGCGCTGGTAGATACTGGTGCGGACTTCTCTATTATCAGCCGTAAACTCGCCGACTGCCTAAAGAAACTCAGAACAATATGGACGGGCCCCAACATAAGAGCTGCAGGGGGTCAATTGGTGACGCCGACGGGCAAATATACCACTCGAATTATTATCGGCAGTTCAGATTTCGTTGCTACATTCGTAATTTTACCGGAGTGCTGCAAAGAATTGATTTTGGGCGTGGACTTCCTGCGTGAATACGGCGCCGTTATCAACATTCCTGAGAGATCGGTTACGTTTTGAATAGCCCCAGATCAAGTTTCGGATGGGCCCTGTACAGACCAGTGACGTAAACCTTTGCGTGTCTTCGACGGTGACGTGACCATCCCACCGCGGTCGAGTGCACACGTGGCTGTGACATGTGACACGTCGAGTAATTCCGAAAACATCACCGAGCAAATTCCAACACTGCTATTCAGCCATGGTTTATCTATCGCAGGAGCTGTACTCGTGCAGTGTCAGGATGGCGCTGAGCGAGTAATTGCTTACGTGAGCAGAACTCTTTCACGTGTGGAAGAGAATTATGCCACCATGGAAAAAGAGTGCCTTGCCGTAGTGTGGGCCGTTATGAAATACCGCCCATATCGTCGTCGTTTTAATGTTGTCAGCGACCATCACTCCCTCTGCTGGCTAACAAATTTAAAAGACCCTTTAGGACGGTTGGCGAGCTGGAGCCTGAAGCTTCAAGAATTTGACACGACGGTAGTCTACAGATCGGGGAAGCGACATTCAGACGCCGATTGCCTTTCTCGTGCGCCATACGAACCTGCAACAGCAGAAGATGATGATACAGCATTTGTTGGAGTTGTAAACACGGCTACTGTCGCACAGCTGCAACGAGACGACCGGGAACTAAAACCCATATTTCGTTTTTTGGAGGGTCACACTTTAGCTGTACTTAGACTGTCTGCGAGAGGGCTTTCGTCATTTTGCTTGCGCAACGACGTCCTGTACAAGATGAACATCACGTCACACGGAAACAACTACTTGCTTGTCGTACCAACATCTCTAAGGAGTGAAGTACTACAGGCATGCCACGATGAACCTACATCCGGCCACTTGGGTTACACGTGCACGCTGTGCAGAGTGAGGCAGAAATACTACTGGCCAAGACTGGCGGCGACCATTCAACACTATGTTCGGACGTGCCTTGACTGCCAGCGCAGAAAAGTCCCACCCGTCAAACCAGCAGGCTGCCTGCGTCCTATTGACGTGCCTGTTACTCCATTCACTCAAGTCGGAATGGATCTTTTGGGCCCATTTCCCACCTCATCGGCAGGTCACAGATGGATTGTAGTAGCCACCGACTACCTCACTCGTTACGCCGAAACCAAGGCTCTGGAGAGGGGCACGGCAAGTGAAGCAGCCCGATTTTTCGTGAAAAATGTGGTGCTGAGGCATGGCGCTCCGTCAGTGGTAATAACTGACAGGGGAACTGCATTCGCAGCCGAGCTATTACAGACGGTTTTAAGTCTTGGTGGCACATCCCACCAGCGAACAACAGTGTATCATCGTCAAGCGAATGGTCTTATGGAGCGTCTCAACAAGAAAGACACTTGCGGATATGCTCTGCATGTACGTCGATGTGGAGCACAAAAACTGGGACAAGATCTTGCCGTATGTCACGTTCGCCTATAACATGGCTCATCAAGAAACAACAAGAACAACGCCATTCCGCCTTTTTCATGGTCGTGAAGTCACCACTATGCTTGATGCCATGCTGCCACACGAGTACGAAAACGTCGAGACGGATGCTGATTATATCACCCAGCTTGCCGAAGAAGCCAAACAACTTGCACACCTACGTATTAGTCGCCAGCAGGACTACGATTTAAGACAGTACAACCTTCGTCACCGACTAATCTCATACGAACCAGGAGAGAAAGTTTGGATATGGACTCCTATTCGGCGCCGTGGCCTCTCGGAAAAACTCCTAAGACGGTACTTCGGGCCCTATAAAGTTTTACGACGTCTCAGTGACATTAATTATGAGGTTGTTCCTGATACTGCGCACTCATTAAGGCGTCGAAGGTGTGCTCCAGAAGTTGTGCACGTTGTTCGTATAAAACCTTATTTCTCCGAATATCGCGAATGAACTCGTGCGTTTCCAGCGAGTACGAACCACTGTGACTATAAAGCATCGGGACGATGCTTACTTGAAAGGGAGGCTAATATCACGGCTAAAGGCCGGGCAAGAGGACGACGAAGTGATGAGCGTGGGCTGCACCCACGGTTGCTCCGAGAAAGATGACGTCGAAGCGGCTGCTCCTTTGTTCTGTCAATACAGACCTTGTCTTTCCTGGTCACACCCGCGTCCTGTACCCTTTTATTTTCTTGTCGCGACAATATGTTGGAGGAATCAACAAGTAACGTTAGTCACACACTGGCAAATGGCATTCAACCGAATGAAGATTACCCTGGATACAATGTTAAAGAGTATGTGCTGTGGCACACAGTTGCACATACTTTTGCTGTACAGAATTATTGAAGTGATTTTTTTTCAACTTGATTGACATTTTTTTATTATAGTTACAAGTACTTTATATATTGAGAAAATTTAATACATTCTGCTTCTTTTGTGCTTTTTCAAACGGTTGCAGCATTTTTTAGAGGCTAATTTTGTAATGATTATTTGCCTGTCAGCTCAGCAGCACCTGGCAACTCTTGTGTGTGCTAATAACACAAATTTAGAAATTAGACATTCCTACATTCTGCACAGTAACAAAAAAGCTTTGAACACACAAAAATGAAAAAACTAAACGAACAGCATTTCAGTTTAAAAAGGCCTAAACAATTTCATTTAGCTGTTCTTATTTTAAATACTTGGACACTGAAAGCACCAGGGCTCAAGCACCCAAAGTGTCAGAAACACACCATCTGTAATAGCGACAGTTGCACCTACTTGTTACATTAAGTAAATGAAAACCTTTGGGTGGGTTAAGTGCAGCGCATAGCAAGAGTGACAAAGGCCAAGCAGGTATCACCTGACAGCACCATTGCACGCATAAAAATTTCAGACTACCTATTTATAAGCAAACAGCGCAGCTAAAATTTTCTCGTGGCACTTCATGGTGCAAGGGCCTCTCGGACTGAAACACAGTTGAAATTGCTGCGGCAATAAATTGACATTGCTGCGGCAATGAATGAGCTAACCCCATATCGCTCCGCTGCTACTTCCTCCAATGGTCGACCTTCGTCGGCAGCTTGTTCACGTATCCTCTGGTAGGCACGCTTCAGCCACCTAAGGCCTCCATCACCAACAGCAGATGCGACTAGAGTTGGCCCCGCTGACTTGGCTTCATCTTCCTTGGGCAGTCCGATTCCGCCTTCTTTCCAGTATGGGTTCAACTCGCGCTCGTGCTGGCCGGGCTAAAGCAAAACAAGGTGTTACCAGTGGCAGTCACAACATGCAGAGGATGTCTGCTCTCACCTACCACCCTACAAGCAATTCCCACTTATATTTCAGCAGCTTGCAGTCGAGTGCCCATCAACTTATAGGAAATATTTTCCTTTACTATGGCATCGAGACACATCTAATATGAGAACAAGAGAACATGCTGACATGCCCAGCATATGCCTGCTTTTTTTTTTTTTTAAACAGTAAAAAAAAGAACACTTTCGCATGACAGAAACCGCACCCTTGCTTCAAGAAGGTGCTTGGTAGGCCAGAAAGAATGCAAAAAGATAAGATTTGTGGTGACTCCTTGTTCCAACTTCAGCACCAACTCACCACGATGTCTACTTACCATGACGGTATCCACAACAGCATATAAATATTTTTTACTGGCAAAGAGCTGAGTACACTGAGTTCAAGAAAACAAATCTGAGTTCATAAATTGGCAAGCTTTAGAAACACTTACAGGGCCAACATGGCCAAAATACAAAATTTAGTTCCAACATACGTGGTGGCATGACATTAAAAAAAAAAAACTGCTTTCTAATATTGCTTTTTACGGTTAGTTTATAAATTTATAATGTTTCAAAAGAAGTGTTTGTGTGTGTGTCCTCAAGGAATAATTTCTCGGACTAAACCGATCACATGCTTCACTTCAATGCACCCGTTCAAGTTCAGGCGACACAGTGGTGTTGTTGCTCTTTTGTTTCATTGTACAAAACGTGCTCCCTACCTCACACATCACATTGATTTGCTGAAGATATTTCAACAGAAACAAAGCATGTCCTTGCGCTAGTCAGTTCACAGATTCAGCAAAAATCGTAAAAAGCAAAAAATACGGGATGCAAAACAGAACTACCGATGCACATGCAGAGAGCAGGACTTACAGCTGAATTTATTTTGTAGAACTTATAAATCCTCTACCTTCATGAAATAAAGTCAGTTAGGAGTTTTACACTTTGTCTCTACGTCTGTGGCTGACAATTTCTTCCTGTACATGCGCTTCGCGTATTTTTCTCTTCGTGTGTGCATTACATCCCGTCTTCTTCAAGCAATTTAAAATATTTTTATTTTCACCATTTTTGTGGACCAATTGTAACTTGATAACCATGCAGTGAACCAGAAAGCATGACAAAAGGTATAAGCAAGAACAAATTGTCAGCCACAGCATATTGGCAACACCTATGAAAGCTAGCTTGCACTAAGGGCTTGAAGGTAAATAATTTAAAGTACATTCCAGTGGCAACACAATCATGTTTGTGTTGGATACTGAGCATAGGTAAAACATCAAGCAGCATCATTAAAATAGCACCAGATATATTACAATTATGCACCCACCTCATAAACAGTCCTTAAAGTCTTTTCTCTCTGGCCAGACCCGCCTGCCCTCTCACCTCTTCTCTGCGCTCTGTGATCCTTTGCCGATATGGTTGGAATGACATCTTCAAAGTTCATCCATGCGTCTCTCTGCATTGATTGATGAGACGCATTCTTCTCGAACAATCATCACAATAATATCAATGGAAATTTGCGAGTGACAAGGCTACAATGTGGTTTCAGTCAACGGCACCATGTGCTGTTGTGCCCTGGTACTGAGGATGTTAGGTGCAGAATGTCTATGAAGGCCAAGCTAAAAACAAGCTTCCACATTACTTTAGATGCTGGATAGCAGACAAGTGCGCTCATTCATTGCTGTGGTGCCTGCACTAAAGTGGGTTACATGCATTTATTTGGTGCCCTTCTGGTATTCTTACTGCACACGCTTTGCAGCAAATGCCTCGAATTAAAAACGAGAAACGCTAAAACAGATACTGTCACCCACACTACACAAACACTTGACAGTTCTTCGCGTGCGTACGTGTGTGTTTCGCTTGAGAATAAAGCTTATGCATTACCTGAGCCTGAGCGGCTTTAGAAGTATTGTCTGCTTTTCTGTCCTGTTGTTCAGTTGAACGAGCTTTAGGCGGTGCCTCCGCCCATTCGTCGCTGCTACCACTGCTGCTGCTGGAGTCCTAAAAAATGTGAAACAAGTTTGTGCTTTGATTCATTGCAACGGAAGGGACGTTTTCGCGTGTAATAAGCTCACCGATACACTTGACACTTTTTTTGCTTTCGAAGATCGCTTTTTGTGCTTTTGCTTCTGCTTCTTTTTCTTACCCTGTGGACAGTACAGGTGGGTCAGAACATATGTACCCGGTATTCGTGACAGTCGACAACATACCCGAGCAAAAGAATCCATTATCTTCTCGCTAGATCCTCGGGAACTGCGTTACTCTTTCCAAGCGAACAACACATGCCGATTACGGCGCAAATATCGCATCCGTGAAACTCATTGGCACAATTGTCAAAATTCACACTTGAGGTAAAAAGAAGAGACACTGAGCAAGTTTAATGCCTGCGCATTGGACAACATCGGTCAGCGCGCACTTTTAGCAGTAGATACTTATCACGGCTTCGTAGACGTCTCTTGTTGGCTTCACCACGCTTCACACTGGCCGCCTTAGTACACTATAGCAACGGCTTATTGAGTGGCTCACTTTGGCTCACTGGCTTGCTTTCCAACGTTTCTGTGTGTGCGCGCGCGTTCTGCGTCGACTCTAATGACACTCTATGTGATCGTTGCTTTAAGTGCTGCCTCACTCTGAATCAGTGAAACGTTCAACGCGCCTTTACACAGGTCTTGTTGTGACAGCTAATCTGTTTGCTTCATTACCGACGATGGTAGAGCGACCTGAAGATATCAACTTGCCTCTGTCTGTCGTTACGCGTATCGTCAAGGATGCCCTTCCCGATGGCGTCAACGTTTCGAAGGAAGCACGAGCTGCTTTAGCTAAAGCGGCGAGCGTCTTTGTCCTCTACGCCACTTCGTGCGCAAACAACATCGCGACGAAGGGCAAAAGGAAAACTGTGACCGGCTCCGATATCATATCGGCGATGGAAGAAATGGAGTTTGAGAGTTTCATCGACACACTCACCGGGAATTTGGAGCAGTTCCGCCAAGGAAAAACGAAAAAGGACGCGAATCGAGCCAAGAAGCTTCAAGATGCTAGTGACGCGGTCTCCGCCGGCGACGCTGAGATGGGGGATGACGGCGACGTCGATGCAGGTGACGAAGATGCGAGCTGAGAATCGGAGACTGAGAACACGCAGCTGTGCGATGCCGTTAACCGTGCTGCACCCACGTTGGAAACGGCATTGTTGTTCCGTCTGGAATCTGTGCTGCCGACCGACATTTTGTCTCCGCTTGTTCCGTGACTAAGCTGCAAGTGATTGTCATCGCCTTGTGCTTGTCAGCCGCTGTTATTGCTATTACCACTGTTGCCCCCATTTTTTTCAGAAAATGCAGCGACGCGAAGTGCATGGAGCTCAGTAATGGCGCCTAATTTGTTAGCTGTAACTTGCAAGCCTGCTTGTTGTGTCCTGTTGCTGTACTTAGACCCTGTGCTGTGGGCTTGTTAGTTTACATCTAAAATAAATGCTTGCTCGCAAAATTAAAAAATAAACGTAACAAAATTCAGAAAGGACTAAAGAAAGGATGGTCTTTGTTTTCGTGCTTTGCGTAAAGAGCACATAAGTGCGCTTTGAAAGAAAGAAACGAATATTAGGGATTCATTTCTTGCCTGTGCAACAGGTAAATGGTCATACAGGAGTCCCAGACTGATGTGTGCAAACAACATGGCTTCCCTAGCAGACAATACAAGGAACTTCCAGGAACTCGCTAATACCTTTGATCTAGACAATTTTTTAGCACAGGCAAATTTCGAACTGTTATTTGTAGTTTAAAAATACATACTAACCAGATGTAGATACGACAGCAAGTCATTGTCAACAGAGGTCATGTTTCATTGAAGAAGAGACCTATGTAAGCATGCGCCAAGATATTGTGAAAATAAGGGCAAGATAAGAATCAGCTATAATGTCGGAGCACCTTGAAGTTATAAGAAATACATGGTTGGGGGAGGGGTGCATAGAATTTAGAAATTTAGTGCTGCCACCAATGTTTTCAGGTGTACTTTTGTGCTTAAAATCAGCTCCTGAATTGGACAGAGGTTAACAAAATGTCAGAGGGCCAATCAGCATTAAGGGTATGTGGAAAACCCACAAATGAGGCAGTGAAAAGTGATCTGGGCTAGGCTTCTTTAGATGTGACGCAAGGGCAGAGCAGTATAAGTTTTGAAAGAAGACCCAAGAGCTCCAGCGAAAAAAAAAAAATGGACAGCTGAGGAAGAGGTTCATTATGAGAGATAAGCTAAGAGGTCGGCCTGAATCAATTTTCTGAACTGCTACTCAGCGTTAAGTAAGGGAAGAGGGTGGTAAAGAGAGAAGTTGTTGATGAAGATGGATGCAATGCTGGATCGGAATCTGAAAAAAGCTCAAGGAAGTTGGTAACAAACTACAGGCTAATTGAAGGTATTAATCAGACGTGAGAAGTCTGTGATAGGCTGCATTTCTTGGTAACATAATTAATCAGTTACTTTTATTTTGCAATAATGTGGCCACTTTTTTTTTAGTAATCAATAACACGTAGCCACTTGCTTTATTGTCGACTTGAAGCTGTGTTGTGTTGATGCTCAAAGCACGAGCATCCATTACCTGCTTTGGGCAGGTAATGGATGCTGTAAAGGCCACTTCAGCCTGAATCTTCCGAAGAACTGTGTCAAAATTATGGGAAAGAAAGCATACATATCAGAATGCTTAGGCACTTACTTCAATAACAGTAAGCGATCTCTTTATAGCTTTGTAGTGTCTTTTGGAGCCTGCTTGGATTTTGTCTTCTGCAAGGCTTACTTTCAAACAATTTTCATGCCACTTCATGCAACGACTCCATTTTGTGGAAGTTGGCCCAATTGTTTCTGCCGCCACCCATATCCTTTGCACAATGTACTGGACAAATGTCCACAGTAGAACGCCTAGAGGCTAGAAGTCTTGCACTCATTCTATTTGTACCACTGAGCATGACATTTCTGGAAAAATTATTCACTAGGAGGAAGACTCGGGAACCTTTGCGGCCTTTGAAAGTGGCATAGAGCTGCATGGGAAAGATAGTATGAATTGAGTAGAACAAAATTTGTAAAGGCAGATCTACTTTCATTTAAACATGGCGCCTGAAAATGCCCACAAACAATTATTTGTTTCAAGAGTAACATAATTTCCAAAACTCATCCACAATCTGGCTTATCATAAGAGAGTAGAAAGAAATATGTAAAGAGAAGTTGCTTTGAAAGAAATGGATATTTAGCAAATACTAAATCAAAAGAATTATCATTTAAGTTGAATTTTTACCCGTTCTTAAATTAATGGTTTCATCGTACCAAGAACTTTTTTTTGACATGCCCAAAACATTCATTAGGATGAGCGGTAAAACAAGTGCAGAATAGCTTTTATAGAGAATAGATTTTGTAGATGTCAATTTTTACCTCTAAATGAAAACATCATGTGCTCCGAAGCTTCACTTATTATCTTGTTTCCTTGTGCGCTCCTGTTGTCTTGCAGAAACTTGATCCTAATCTGGCTACACTCACAGGTTGGGAACTTAACACAAAAGGTGTAGTGTGCTTTGTTTGCAATATCTCGTCATAACAATGTGATGACTGTATGCATTGGTGAATGCTAGGGGCTAAGCCAGTCTTCCTTAGCAGGAGAAGGGGTCAACCTCTTCTTAACATGTGTCTGTCCCTGCATTAGTATGTGTGTGCATAATTATGTATATGCGAATTACAAAAAACCCAAAGGGTGGGGGTGGCGTGAGTGAATCAGGTCCTCGCTCGCTGGCTACGCCTGTGGTGAATTGCAAGCTGACCCACAGTCGACACAGCCTATGGAAGTTCGCATCAGTCCTTGGTACTTTTGCACTACAAAGAATTTACAGCTCATGTATAGAGTCGGAACGGTAGAGGCCTGTGCACTTTGCGAGGTTAGCGTACATTAAAAGCTGCCAGATTGTCGAAATTTCCGGAGCCCTCCACTATGGCGTGCCTCATAATCATATTGTAGTTTGCAAACGTAAGACCCAAGAAAATTTTATTATATTACAGCTCTTATGTTATTTAATTCCCTTCGAGAAACAGGGGCTTATAAACAGAGACTCTTACTGAAATACTCAACAGCTTGTAACCTCCTTTCTATAAAAAAAATCCTGTTTCTCATGCCAAGTTTGAACAAAGTGCAGAACTGGGTGGCCTTCTTTGTTTCTTTTTATTTTTTTCTTCCTCTCCTTTTTTTCCTCGTACTGGTTATTGGGCATTTTTCTTTTTATTGGTCACTCTTTATTCCTATTCCTTTCTGTCTTTTTTTTTCTTGCCCTTTCACCTTTATCTCGTTCTCTATTATTTATTTATCTTTCTATTTTGTTCTTATATTTCTTTCATTCTAATTGATATGATTTACTCTCTCCTCCTCCTTTCCTTCATCTCCCTTTCAGTACAAAGCTATGCTATGCTCTATCAGCTGGCCTGGGTGGCCCAATGGTTATGACACTCGTGCCTTCGAATCGCGTATATACTCGAATACCGCTTCACCATTTTCAAATACCGCCCCGCCAAAAAAATTTTCTCGCTAAGAATTTTTCTCATTTTTTTCTATTTCTTGTCATTTCTTCCTTACTCACCCATAAGAGTTATTGCATCCCACGCTGGACAAATCTGTCCGTTTGTTTTGGGAGCGAAGTGATGAATGCGATAGCAACAAATTGTAACATTATACGATGTGAGGCATGGTCGCTAACTCTTTTAGATACGATCTCGCGGTAGGAAAGAAAACACTGGCGAATATGTCTGGCTTGGAATGACAAAATCTTTTCGCGTACGTCATCAAACCGTTCCCTCCAGACTAGAGTAGCACATCCAGGTACACCACAGGCCGCGGTATGAGTGTATGCGCCACAGGGGATTGACAGTTTGTATCTGCCCGGGAACGGCGAGAACCGACATTGGTAATCTAAACGCGAGAGCGTTAAGCAAAATAAACATCGGTAGCGTTGTCCCGACGATTACGAAGAAGCTTGGGTCCCAGCAGTAATCGAACCCAAGCATTCTGCGTGGCCGCCAATTATTCTACCACACAGCCAAGCCAAGTCTCGAAACTGCTTTGGAATAATACTATATGCGAGTGTAATATTGATGGAACGCCAGTTGTGATTGCAATGCTGGCTATCTAGTTTTGTAAACTTTATACGCGTGTACTAGTATGATACAGGCGTCACGTCGGGTTAACGTCAATCGTATTAAGCGTGATCCGCGGAAGTCTCTCTGTGTTTAACACTACCCAAGCACTACCCATGCTCGCAATCACAAGCGCTACACAACAGCTTACCGTTTCTGGTGTTGGTAATACCCATGTTGCGGTTGACATCGTTACGCAAGTGTAAACAACTGGTTATATGAAACATATGGGACTGTATAACATGCGTCTGTGCGTAAAACATTTTTGTACATATCTAGAGCAATATTTCGCAACGTTTTGCTCAGTAGTAAAATTACACATTGACCTTCTCTCCGAATGCTTAGCATAACACCGATTCTCATGGTGCATGGGATCTGCCGAGTTTTGATCGGTTTATGCATCATACGGGACATGACAGCGAAAACCCGCCGAGAGTACCCATATAATTGTTATCGCAGTAAATATGAATAAACGAAAGAAAGAAAAAGCTGCACCCTTCGGAATTTAATTTCTCCCAGAACATTCACGAGAATAATGCCATCTGCACTGCGAGCGTAGCGAAGGCTTTTCGTCAAAAAGCTAGCGTTCGTGGACTTTTCAGAAAAAGAAACGCTCGCAAAACAAATTAAGACCGTTGCTTGACGGAGAAACACGCTCCTAAATAAGGGATTTTTTTTTTAAGCTTTAGACAACCTGTACACATGGTAGACGCCTTTAAAGCTGGTTTGTCCGCAAAAATACGTTTATACAGGCAAGCCCACTTCTTTTGTTTCCCTAATTTTGTACGCCGAGGTCCTTTGGATATGCGTGTGAGTGGAATATCCGGAGTGCTGTCTAAAGTGACACGAAGAGGCCAAGAGTGCTTCTGTAAGGCTGAAATAAATAAATGAAACTACAGCTGAGTCTAGGGCCTTTTTTAACCAACAGTGGTCTAGATTAAGGTGCCGACAAGTCATCGTCGTACAGAAGCTCTTGTAAACATTACAAGTAAGCCTTCGTGAAGTATTGGTACTAAGGAGACCTATTCAAACAATCAAAATAGAATTGGACAATATATTTCCTAAGAATTGCAAAGATCGTGGCAGTAGGTACCTAAATGCCGTTCATTATACACCTATTTATCAAGCAGAATTACTTTCAATTGTCTTAGAATTACGGAAACTGCCTCTATCCATTACAGATATGCTGTCATTCTTACACACTGCATGTCTGACTGTTCTTTATTAACTGCACGGAATACGTCGAATGCTTTAAAAGTGTTCTATGCCCTTGCTGCAAGACATTAACGTCTAATTCTATTGGTATGGGTACTAGGTCATAAAGGTTGAACCCTCTATGAAAATGGAGATGCACTTGCAGTGGACTCAAATAATGGTTCTATAATTTCTATATTGCCGACACTAGCATTTATCGCCGTGGCACGATTTGACAAATTTCCCACATCGGATAACTGAAAAGTCTCGCTTGGCTACATCCAAGTTTTCTCATCTAAATTACCCCAGGAAAAATTGATGGTGCTCCTCTAGAAGGGCAGAAATATCAGTCATGAAACTACGATGCTGAGTCCCCCACTGAATTTTTACTTACACAGGTCTGGTCTGGTACAGTCACCCTTATGCCTTCACTGCAACGAGAGTGGATCTCTGCATCATTTCCCTTTAACATTCAGGCTATTTGCAAATCAAAGGAAAAGACAGTTAGAAGAACCTCTCCGTAGGTTAGCTTTAAATTTATCTTTTCCGGTGGTTATTTTCTTTGGAGCAACTGAAAAGGGCTTTAGCTACAGGAACGTTTGCGAAGCCGTATGCGATTTCCTAAAATAAATAAAACGAATAGAATGTTAAGCTTAGGTATAAATTCACTTTATTTTCAACCCTATCTTGCTGGGCTTTCTTTTACTATATTTATTCTACTCTTAATCCGTCTTTTACCAATTTGTCCTTTAAAGAAACATCCCTATCTAGACGCACTCGGCTGGTAAGCCCATTTTATTTTTAAGAAAAAGTGTCATCCGTTTTGTGGCCGATCCCTCGTAGTGGATTGCGCCTGGCATATAAGTGCCAACCAACCAACCAATGAACCCGCGTGGATAAACGACGGTAAAATAGAAAGAAGATCGAGGGCACGCACGTGGCGCGTTATTTCTGCGCGAGAACACGCGTTGTGACAAGGGCCGCTGTCTTGGCTCGGAGCGGTGCTTCGTGAAATGCACTTGGTATGCTTCGGTCGACTCCAAAAAACGGGTGAGCGGGACCTCCGCACAGACTAGAAGCGAAGAGGCGTTACCGGCTCACCGTGCTCCGAGAGCAGGAAAAACGACCAAGGGACAAGGTAGCCAAGCCGGATTTTACATTTCTCGATCGAAGGCATGGCTAGTGGCAGGGATCGCGCATACCGGAATAAGGATGGTCTCGAAGAGAAAGTAGAGGCCGATCAGAAACAAGCCGACGAAGACGGACCCGGCGCCGAAAGAAGAGACAGGCGAGAAACCGACGTTAGGCAACACGCTGAAGTAGAAGAGACTCGGACCATTCCCGAGGAAGGTGATCACCCGTCGGATAGCTCTTCGGACAGGCGCGGCAGGGACAGAGGACGGACTAGAGATACGGCATATCTGAGGGAGCTTCGCTATAGGGCTGAAGGTACCGAGTCGAGGCCGGCCAGGCGATACAGCCGTCAGAGGGCCCCCGCATCAGAAAGACGGCGTGGCGAACGAACTCCCGACTACGACACAAACCTCTCCGGCATCGAAGAAAGGTCGCCTTACAGGAGCAAGGAGAGAGCGCGCAAACCGACGGCGACCAGGAGAGATCCAATGCGCTCGATTATCGAAAAGTATTACCGTGAGAACCTCCAGAATCGTGCGAGAGGTGAATCTAGGGTCCGAAGGTCAGACAGAAAAGAGCCCTCTACGGTAGCTCACGAACGAAAAGGGAAAGCCGAAAAAGCGACGGACGAGACTCGCGAGCTCGGAAACCACAAAGAGCGTGAAGCAAACGCTTTGACGACGGTCACGAAGACCGCTACGGAGCCTAAGGAGCCCCCGGTGTCTACGAAAGACTTAGGTCCTGCAAAACAGGTGACAGAAGAGAAAGGCCCAGACAAGAAGCCCGTGCCTGCTGTCGAAGAAACGTTGGACGACGAAGAGAAATACTCGACGGGTTCGGAGGACTATTACGAGGAGGTGACGGAGGAAGTCCTAGAGCCCGACCCTAACGATTGGCGCCAAGGGCGTGGTGGACTTATAACGCGTCGCACGACGCGTTCCACTACTAAGAAGCGCAAGTACGGTAAACCGGGCGTTCCCAAGGCCGGCGAGCAGCCCAGTTCGAGACCCACTAGCGACAAGAAAGGGCGTGATGACGAGACTGACGCAGAAAATAAAAGTGGGACTACCACCAGCGAAGCGGACGAGTTGTTCCCACCAGCCCAAGGCATCGAAGATAAGGAGACAACTACATGCCCCTGTTGTGGGTCCTGCTGGCCAAGCCACATGGGTGAGTCGAGAATGAAGGCGGCTCAAGGACAAAGCAAAACATGGCGACGTCGCTTGCGCCGTGGTGACGAAGGCCCTGCCGGAGACGAATGGTACGAGGTGCGTAATCTCGGTCCAAAGCCGGCCTCACGCTTCTCCAGACGAAGAACCGAGATGACCGACACCACCGGCAGAGGTTTACAAGGAGGAGTGCGGTTTGCAGACCAAATGCCCTATCCGTATGCCTTTCCGCCAGCCACTCCACCCGCGTACTCCGCGCAACAAGTATATCCCCCGGGAGTGCAGGCGCAAGACATCTACTGCAACGCCTATCAACCAAACCTACAGGGACCCTACCAGAGGCCCCCGTTGTTCCCAGCGCCGGCTGCTTTTCCACAGCCGTACCCGATGCCACCAGCTGCAATGGGAACGTACGGAGGGGCTGTTCAGGCAAACTCTGCGACGGCGTTTCCCACGGCTACCGGTGGCTGCGCCACGTGCCGCGCGCAAGCCCTCTTGGGCCAGCTCTCGCTCGGCGGTGGTCAGCCGCCGCCGACCATAAGCGTGGAGGACTTCCTCCGCCGCGAGCAGCGCGTGCGACAAGAAGAGAGGCTGCGCCTAGAAGAGAAGCAGCTGCGCGAAGAAAAGCTGCGGCGCGAGGAGCGCGTGCGACAGCAAGAGCGGTTGCGGCGCGAGGAACGGGCTCGCCAGGAGGAGCGAAGGCGACGCGAGCTCGAAGAGGAGCGGTTGCGCCAGCAAGAACGGCTGCGCATCGAGGAACGCATTCGCGAAGAGCAGCGCAGGGAGCGTCTCGAGAGGCAGCGACGCGAGAGAATCGAAGAACAGCGCCGCTACAACGACCGTCTCCGGCGGGAGCTTGCCGAGCTGAGGATGGCCACCGATCGCATTGCTGAGGCGGCCCCTTCAGGCAGCTTCATCGACGACGTCGTGATCGGAAGCCGGCTAAGACCGGTGCCCAGCTCCGTTCTGCGTAGAGTGGGCTCGCTGGACAGGCTCAGGGCCTCCGCCCTGCGAGATCCCGGGGATTCGGAACGGCCTGCAGCGTCGACTCGTGGCGTCAGTCGTCCCGCCCGCTGGGATGACGTGCACCGTTACACTGAAGAGACTGGAGATCCACGGAGGCCTCCTCCTCGCGGTGGTGGAAGATTCCGCTAGGGATGCGCAGATGGAGTGCGCCCCTCTCGGACACTTACGAAATGGGGTGCACTATTTCCCATCCAGTATGCTTACTATGCAGGCGTTTACCTGTCGTATGCAATACACCGAGGCTCGAAGATAAGATCAACCCACCGAATATTATAGCAAGTGCGCTTGGCGAGCGCCGATGACTATGTGCGTGGCTTTTCCGCACTAAGCTCGTATATGTCGTGAAACCGCCTTTTAATACGTGTTTTCGAAGCGACAAAATGTCGCCTTATTGAGCTTTCTTTTTTCTCTTTGTCGATAGCTTACCGCCCAAGCTTAAATACGAAACTATCAAGGTTTATTATGTATTGCGTAACGACGCTTATATGCTTGAAACGAACGGACTGTTAACTTATGAAAGTGATTCGCCGTGATTTAATTGTCAGCTCGTTCTGTCGGTTTTTTTTTTTCGTTTTTGTTTGAACCAACTATACATGACGTGCAACAATTCGTATGTAATATATATCCAAATTCCATTATAAAACTATCAGTGACTATACAAATATGTCACATACAAAGGGAACTCTACCCTCAGCTTTAGAAGGAAATTGCTTTTCGTGCTGTCTTGTATAATTGATCCTCTTGTGTAGCATGCGTGCATATTTTCAATTTTTAATAAATTACCACTGCATTCACTGTACTAAACGATGATAAGCTGTCATTAGGCCGACATTTGTGGTTGGTTTAAAATAATGCGGGAACCACTTGCGGTAGCTTCAACTGAAGTAAAATTAACAGCAAATTAATTGCGTTAACTCTCGGCGATGTATACCATATCACGGGATCCTGATTGGGGCATAACTATTTATACAAGTAGATCGGACCGTGATCGCCGAGGTGCGAACACGTTTCTGAATACTTCTTCCGAACAGAGTTCGTCACTTCTAGATGTGCGCAGTTCTCGGTGAAAAAGCTCCGCCGCTTTATAACGGGGGAACGCATTGACATCCAACACAATGCTCGGTGCTGATTTTCTTGCGAAGAATTTGTATGTGACGTAGCGAAACCGAAAATCGTCCTCCCTACGTGAGCGAAATCGAGCAATCCCCACTGTTTACCACCGGTACACAGAAAATGACGTATGAACCACAGGAACCAGGTTAATGAATCAACCAACCAACCAACTCGGCGATAAAGACAGCGCTCGCACATTACAGCTTCGCTGGTAAGTTATCTATACGAAGTCCTGGGAAAGTTTCTTCTCTCTCTCTCTCTCTTTATACAGCGAAAGCTGTTATGAGATCACATGTGTCGCGTGCTCACCGTAGTTGTCCGCCGCCGCCGCCGGTGTCTGTAACCACTATCGCACCAAATAAGAAAAAAATATCCACGGAGTGAATAATGATGAGTGGGGCGAAGCGTCCGCCAGCCCGTCCGTGCTTCCGTCCGTCCGTCCGTTCATTATTGCTTCCGTGCGTTCGTGCGTCCATCCATGTGTCCGTCCGTCTGTTCATGTGTCCGTACGTTCGTGCGTCCGCGCGTTTTTCTATCTGTCCGTCCGTCTTCTAGCCTATCTGCGTCTACATGTTCACGCCTTTGATGACGCTTGGTGCAATAAAATGATAAAAAAGATAAGTAAGTAGATAAAATAGGAGTGTACACCTTGTGAATACGCAGTTTAGATTGTAGTTGTTGTCACATTTGAAGTGTTTTGTGACGGCTTTGTTTGCGGCTGATTGATTGGTGGGATTTAACGTCCCAAAACCACTATATGATTATGAGAGACGCCGTAGTGGAGGGCTCCGGAAATTTTGACCAGCTGGGGTTCTTTAACGTGCACCCAAATCTGAGCACACGGGCCTACAACATTTCCGCCTCCATCGGAAATGCAGCCGCCGCAGCCGGGATTCGATCCCACAACCTGAGGGTCAGCAGCCGAGTACCTTAGCCACTAGACCACCACGGCGGGGCCAAAAACGATGAAGCAGTGCGCCGAGAGAGTCGAGAAATAATACCTTATGAAACCTTACTTAACGTCACACGGGAAATAAAACAGGAGAAAAGACTGCGCACTCATAAAAAAGGTCAACAAAATAAAAGAAGAAGAGAAATGGAAAAGAACACCTAGCAAGGTGTTCCCCACAACATCAAACATGACCGTGTTGGAAGCCTATTTCCCTGCCCAAAAGTGAAATTGAAGGCACGCTTATGCATTTGTCATTAAATTGCCTGATAAAATACGCTTCGATAATATCCCTTTCTGTCTTTTCACGTGCCTTCGCCATGACTGACACATTCTCAAGTCGGGGGGTGTTTCTGTAACAGTTTTCTGTAACGGCAGTTCACACTACCGAAGCAGAAAAGCAAGAGGGGGGAGGATAATGTCATAAGATTAATATAAAAGAATCAAGTATGTGTTTAGAAAAAGTTGTTAACGATTTAGAGTACTTGATACTCTACCATGGGAGAGCGGAAAGCCGTCCTGTTATCTGTGTGTTTAGAAAAAAAAGTGGTTAACGATTGAGAGTTCTCGACACTCTACTATGAGAGGGCTGAAAGCCATCGCTTGGGACTCATATGAGGCCGCCTTACACTTTTAGGAGGTGTTGGCCTTACACGTAGCTTGTGTTTAGAAATAATGTTTAACGATTTTGAGTACTTGGTTGTCACCTATGGGAGAGCAGTTTATTTACAGCATGTACAGAACACAAAGGCTTCATACCATTCCAGTAACAGGGCACATACACTTCGGCACATCTATATTTCACGACCAACAACACTACGTTACAGTGAAGACATTTGCTCTAATATACATGATTATGTTGGCATACATGTACACAAAAATTTAATGTGATATCACGATACAAGGGTATAACGATACAATAGATCCAAATGAAAACAATTTGTATGAATCATATATAACAACTGAACGGGCGCTGCTTAGCACCAAGTCGGTCGAAAAATGAGTTGTATCCTTTCGTGTTCCACCTTGACGAAAGGGCACGACCAATGCCGCAGAAACTCTTGCTCCCCGAGGAAGAAAAGCTCTTCGGAGAGGAACGCGAGGATCTCTCGTCTCATTCTCCCCAGTATCGGCCACAAGGCACGCCGGCGGCAAATGGCAGCTACGGCCTCACATCGGTTTCTCCAAAGGCTGAACAGCCCCGCAACTATCCTAACCGAGGTTTCTGCATTGTCTACGAGGTTAATGCTGATGATCCGGCGAAGCAGTGTTCATGTCATATTCAATCATGGCCTTCTATTCAGTTCTGGTCAACATTGTTTTATTTTGTTCTTCTTGAAGTTTTGCTCTATCATGGGTATTGATTGGTGGGTAGATATATTTTGATGTTTCTACGGCGTTGTTGCGTTTTATGTTATTTTTGCTCTAGGTAATTATATACTTTTTGATGTTAACAAATGTTTTGGTTCCCATGCACATGCCCTAATCTTCTGCAGTCTGGAAGTTAGATTTGTCCGTGCATGCACGTCGCTCTGAAATACTTTGCCTCTATACATTTTTTTTTCTTTCATGCCTCACTATATCGCTTCATGAAACACGCATAGAGTTGGGCTCACTTTTCACATTAGAAAGCATCATAGGATTTTTTTTTCCTTTTTCAAACACTAAGAACGGGAGCGCCATCGACATCATGGCGTTGTTCGTATCCAACGCAAGCGTAGGCCAATCCATCCTAGGGACGGTTTGTTTACCGCTTGTTATGGTGGCTACGCTTGTTTACGCTGCTGGATTTGAGCAATAATGTTTCACATGAGGCAGAAGTGCTGAACGGCTAATTATTAGAGTAGATGGAGGCGCCCCAGTTTCCTTCTCTACAGCCGAAAATAGCCGACCAGTCTTGGTTCTACGTTGACCGGCCCTGTGATGACGAATCCGAGTTAACCCAGCTAGAGAAAGAACACCAAAGCGCGGTAGGTATTGCAGCCGCTCGTTGCGTTCTCTCTTGTTGCCGGATGGCGTGTCACAAATATGTACAATTTATGCGTTATTTCAGCTCACCAGCATCGCGCAGACGCACAACGACCTTGTTCCGATTGGGAAAACTGCAGCAGAAGTAAGCCTGGCCGGCTGTGGCATTCTCAACTTGACTTACGCATTGGAGTTAATTACTTTTTTTTATTGTGTTACTCGCTTGTCTGCGTGCTTCAGCCTGCGCAGCGGTTATGCACGACAATTTATTTCTTTAAATACCGCGTGGTACGAAACCAACGGCACGATTAAAGCACAAAAGAATATACATTACCATGCTCGATAGATTGTACGTGTGCCAGGTACCGGATAAAACGCGGAAATACGTCATGTATTTAGTACAGGTCATTGACGTCGCCTAATTGAGCAGTAGGACCTAACGTGCTATACTACAAACTTAATACCCCTGCGCGGTCATCCAACGCAGACAAGCCAGCTAATAACTTTTGTTTTTATTATATGTATAAAACGCTTAGTCTCGAGGAAATGCACCTCACCTGTGTTCGATTTTAACCCTCGCAACAGTGCAATCCACCGGTCAACAGAGTCCTTATCGTAAGGATTTATAAACAACCCGTAGAATCATTTTTGCTCGGTGGTTCGGCTTCCTAAGTTGTGTTCTCGAAAAGTTGCAGGATGAAGACGAGGAAGACGATGAGGACGACGACAATGAGGACGACGAAAGTGATAGCAACGAGGATGAAGACGACGAACTGGATGCAGATGACATCAATTACGATCAAGACTCGCCTGTAAGCATTGGTAGTGTGCATGCCCATTAGGCTTCATATGAGCACAGACTCCGTTCAGACATTATTAATTTGCTGTATAACAAAGTTAGACATTTCCTTTTTTCTTTCTTTCACTTTTTTTAACATGGCCTTGCTAGATTTGTCGAATGACCATCCATCACAGGTCATCGGATTATGAAATGTATTAGACTTGACACATTGAAAGGTACCTTCTGTTTAACTGGGCAAGCCAGGAATCAAACTAAAAAAAAAATTGTATGCTGAAGCCAGTAGTCAAGTGATTGTGTGTTTAGAAGAGCCAGTAGTACCTGGAAACTTGAAGCAAGCCGTACAGTATAGAAGTGGTATAACATTGAAAAAAATAAACAGCATATGCGGCAAATTATTTACGAGCACGTTGTGAAGTGGTGGAGATAATAAGGTAATGATTACAGAATGAGGTAGGAATAAAATGTAATGATTCTTCTTATTGTAACACTTACATCAATAGTTTTTAAAAAATTAAATCCTTCTTTTTAAGGCTAGGTAATGCCTGCATTTGTCCTACGTTTCATTTGCCACAGTCATCAAAAGGCTAGAAAAGCGTACGATTACATAAAAATTGTGTTGTGGGAATAATAGTATTGATGCGTACATTGCTTATTTATGCCTTCTTTCTTTACAGATGTTCCATTAGCTGCCATTCTAGGTGACACCAACAGAGAAATAAATTGTATTCTTTTCTCACGCTCAAGCGATTTGGTCATTTTTGATCAGCGAGGTCTTGGCCTGCAATTTATCGTGCCCGAACGTGGCCTGGTACCCTATTTCTCCAAGTTTTAGTGAATGGGCTATTTCAAGACGCTAGCAGGATGTCCAATGCATGAGTGCGGTCGTTTAGCCATGGCCTAAGCAGCATCCACGTCTTGTTCCAAAGTCTCTCTTGGACAGAGTGGTCATCACACAGGGATAGTGACTGAGCCAGTGCGCATTCCTCCAGATAGTGGCCACTGATGCCTTCAAGCTCGCTCGAAAGAGTTGCGTGAAGCACTGTCCTAACACATTCTTCTGGTGTCTGTCAGTAAAATTAAAAGAAATAACAAGAAAAAAATTAGCAATAAAAGAATATCATTATACGTCAGGATAGTGTTGATAAGCCCAGTTGTTACTTGTTTAATCTATGTCCAACTGTAAAGTTTAATTATTAATAGATCACTATATACACACATCACCCTAGAAGTTTATACAATTAACGAAGAAATGAGAACTTTTTTACTTTGACTCAAGCACTTTCATGAGCTTGCATTTTTAAACTACAATTTGTACATGTATGCACAAAAAGAGTGTTAAGACTTACCCTGAAGAAAAGGCCAGCAACTAGAGGTGCCCACCATACCCTCTGATAGAGCTGGGTGTTCACAATTCCCGGGTGGATGCAGTTGACGGTCACAGGAACACCCTTGGCTTTTAAGTGCCTTCCAAGCGCTTTTGTGAACAGCACCTGTGCCAGCTTTGACTGAGCGTAACCGTTGTAACAAGAGTATGATTTTCTGTTAAAAGAATGTAAAATGGAAATGTGGACCAGCCATACAGTAGGTATATGTGTCGTTCGTGCCAAACCTACTTCTAAAATAAGCCATACATGAGATATGAGAAGTTCACCTCTTAAATGGAAACATAAGCTGATATCTTGTACAACCTATCCAACTCCCTTCCCTCCTACATGGTTTTGGGACTTTAAACCCCACATATCAATCAATCCCTTTCCTCCTACATTCATAATTGTTCTGGCCAATTCGATTAGGTGGGTTTGAGACCTGTGCTTTAAATAAACGTCAGTTGCTATAATGCTCCTGGTTATTTTTTGTACTTTGCTGCATCCCTGCCTTCAATAAGCACAACCCAAAACCAGATGACACAAGATTTGTTCTGCACCAAGATTACTCTGCATGCGAAATTTCATCTGGATCTGCCCATTATGTCACCAATGGGCAACAATTCTGTCACACTATATAGGTGTATTACTTTGACACCTAATAGTAAAACATGGCGGCAGAAGCATTAGCAAATGCGGGTATGTGGCATGGCTAAATACGATAAGGAAACAATAAGATTTGCAACCACACTGTTTCACGAAGATTCGAGGCAGGGTGAAAGAAATATATCCACGATAGACTTAACGTAATAGCTTGTTGGGGCTAGAACATATTATGCTTATTCCTTTACAATGGCTGCAAGTTTTCTGCGTTCCTAGTAAGCCTCACATACACTAAGCTCACCTGCTGTTGAGATCATCGATGTCCATGCGGCCAGCTTTATGGACGCATGACGATACATTAACAATCCTCGCGGCTTGTCCTTTGCTACTGGCAGCAATCAGCAGAGGTAGCAATAAGGCGGTGAGAAGGCAGTGGCCTAGGTAGTTAATGCTCACGTGCAATTCAAAGCCGTCCTCAGTTTCCAAGTATGGCATTAGCATCACGCCAGCTAGACAGAAGGTGGTACTGTGAGTGTCCTGTGTCATAGAGATATTCAAGTTGACTTACCGTTGCAAATAAGGGCATCCACTTTGCTTTCGCTTCTCAGTATCTTTTCGACAAATAACTTCACAGAAGCCATTGAGCTCAAGTCAAGATGCAGGAGCTCCACTGTAAAGATGTTTAGCTTTGGTTAGACAATAACTCTACAAGACACTTGTGCAGGAGAACAAATGAGAAACCTTGATAAACCTTGTGCTGTTGGTTGTCCTTCCAAAAGTGAACGCCTTCGTTCTTCCTTGAAGTTTGTATCTGGACTTCCTGTAACAAACATCAGATATACTTAAAACAGCATTTGTAACTAGGATTGCTTTTAGTCTGCTCCTTGAACAGACAAAAGTTGTTACCATCAATAACTCGAGCACCAAGAGATAAAAGCGCTCGTATTGTCTCGTGCCCTATTCCGCCTGATCCTCCTGTCACCACAACCGTTTTGTTTAGCATGGAGCGGTCTGAAATGGTATCAGCTATCAGATTCACAACTCCTCATTGACAAGCTGTGACGCAAGCCACATAAGCACAGAAATGCACGCTAAACTTACATGAAATTTCCTCTTGCGGCGATAGTTGGCTTTTTATCCGCAGTAGGCACTCCCAGAGAAGATAATAGGCAGACAGGATGTATAAGCAGAGCAAGTCCCTGACGAGGAAAATCACATGGTTGATGAGAGAAATCATGCTCGAGCTAGTAAAGCTGCTCCGAAGCTGTCTCAGACTTGTCGCTTTCTGCGTGCAATTATGCACGCGTGCGAGTCTGGGGGTATTTGGCGGCGCAAAAATTAAAATTGGCAGCTAGGAGGGAGACGACGCCACTACGAGGCCCATCTGGTGAATGCAAAATGCAAAACAAAACTGCGCGTTTACAGCTGTTTGCACAGTGTCCGCTATTGCATGCGTCCAAGCTCGTTTTTTAAACTCATTCTGCCGGCGAAGACAGCTCAAGATGTGGCAGCAGTCTATTTCATGCAACTACTGCTGTTCTTTGCTAAAACCCTTCCATAACATTTTCCGCCGACAATGAGCGACTCAGGCGCTTCAAGATTGTTTATTTTTTCACGTGGACTGGAACTCACGCACGTTCATGTCATGTTTAGGACACTCTAGTCGCAAGCGATTGCGATAGGTTTGCCCATTCTCCATCCAAATAAAATCAGAACTCTGAAATGAAACCAAACACCAAACAAAACTACAAAAACGTGACACTGACTATTCTTCAAAATAACTACGTAAAAAAGTTGCTATAAACATGTTTTAATGTCTCGCTTTCAAACGTAAAAAAAAAGTTTGCGCATAGAGCGGGAGATTTAAGTGCCGTAGTTCTTGTACTACTCTGTGCAAACAGTGTGAGTGAGCAAACTTTATTTAACCAGCGAATTGAGGCGTGGGTGTCTACCAACAAAAACGTTGGTATGGACAGAGAACATAACCACTACACAAAGCAGATCTATTTTTATTTATCCGTAATTTTTCATGTTATTTTTCAAAATAACGTTCCGCCAGGGTGAATCTAACGTGCACGATATGCCGCACAGGTTACAGCTGAAGGAGGAAGAAAAGCCGTCTGCACAAACTACTTGCTTGCTTTATTGAAGCATTTCTCTTGCCTCACAAAAGCCTACACTGTATGAGGCCAGTGATGTAGTCTGTTGGTCGAAACGAAAGCTCGTCTACTACCTTCACTTTTTGTACCGCTAGGGTGCTACGAAAAATTGGGAGACCCTTAAGCTTCGCCTTTAAGAGTTGAACGCGATAGCGAAATCCAGTCCCTAGTGCGCCCTTCAACCACTAAGCGTATACTTATTAATATGTTTTGTCACATAGACAGACATGCACACACACACGCACACAGTAAATTGTACCAGCGCGCGCGCAAGAATGGTACATGTTTTTGATCTAAAGAAAGAATCGCATGGCCTCCAAAATACATGCCGTGCGCTTGCCATCTTGGAGGCCATAAAGACTTTCACAATGCCTCACAGGTGGCAGCACATTATCTAGCGTTTGCTCTTTTCTTGATCGACGCCTCTGGAAAGGCATGATATGTTTCCACTAGATGGACATGGTTGTCAGTTTTTATAGCTGTTTGAAAGTTCCTGTGTGTTTTTAGCGGCAATGGCTGCAGTATCCCGGCTTTTTTCGACGTAGCTTGAGGCCTCCCAAAATGCGCATACAAATCGCCGAATGGGCTCGTTTCCGTCGTGACACCTGTCAAACAAAACGCGTTATTTTTTCAAGTAACCATAGAATGAATTCACTAGGAGAGCTTATTGCCTCACGAATTCAATGCCGCAAAAATTTTAAGAATCCGTCCAGTGCGAGTGGAGTTACAAAGGTTTGTCGCATGCTGGAATTGCATTCTATCTTCTCTCGCCCCGACGAAAGCGCTGGAAACTAAGCAGGGAGGGGTGGCAGGGGCAAAGAAACTACGTCACCCGTGCCTCGTGACCTTGAGCACTTATTTATTTTTTTTCTTCGAATGCGAGGCTTTTTCAGTGTGATTGTGTGCGCACGCGTGGACAAGTAGCGGCCTCCCGCGGTGATCTCTGTAACAAGCTTTTTCGCTCACGGACGATTTTTCGCTCACAACCAATGGGGTCGACACCGACGGCGGAATTTCCGCGACACGAGCTCTCTAACGCTATCGCGTTAATACGCGTTGTTGAAGTAGTTGAGGAAGGGGGATGGCTAAATTTTATCTCTGGGCCTACACCACCTCCCTCGTTGGTAGAGACCAAAAGACAACATGCGTCACAATGTATGAAAAACAAAATGAAAATGAAGGAATGATCTGCTTCTCGCAGTTGGTTCCAAGCCCTCCTGTATTAAAAAAGGGAACTAAACAGTTCTTCACGTTAAACATCAGTGGCCTGTGTGCACGCCACTACCGTCAGAAAACCTGCGTGGCCATGAGTAAACGTATTGGGCCGATTTTGCACCCATTTCTAAGCCGAATCCGCTCCCCTCCCCCAATACCTGCCCAAATGATTCAAAGGGGTCCTGCAACACTTTTTGAGCATGGTCAAAAAACACTGCCGATCGGTAGTTGAGGCACCTGAGAGCATATGCGAACCAAACATTAAAGTGCTGCACGCGACATGTTTTTTTAAAATATTTTTTTTTGCAAAGACAGCTAGAAATCATTCCCTCCTTTAAAAATAATGTCTTACCCTCAAGTGGCCCCGCCGTATACCCAAATTCACGGACGTCGGCCGATTTAAACATCGTCAGCTGCGTAGTTACTGAGGCCGCCGCAAAAGGCCGCCACATGCCTCCACGCGCGCAGGCGATCACACTGATGCCAGTTTTGAGTCCTTTCGGAGCGCTCTCCTGAGAGAGAGAGAAAGAGAGGCTGAAGAAATGAAAGCGACACAACCTCGCTCTTTCTCAGGAGAGTGTTCCAGAGCGCTCCGAATCGACCAGTCAAAAATAAATGGCATGAAAGTAAGACGGGCGCGTGACGTTACTTCTTTCCCCCGTGCCATCCCTCCCTGCTTAGCTTCCTTCCAGCGCGCTCATGGGGACGAGAGGAATGAGAAAGCAATTACAGACGGTGCGACAAATCTCTTAACTCTGCTTGTACTTGAGGAACTTCTAATTGTTTTTTTTTTGCGATAGTCGATTTGCAAGGCCCCAAACTTCTTTAATGAAGTTATTCAATGATTGCTTAATAAGTTATTGCAGGGCCGCGTTATTTAGCCGCTGACAAAGTACCAGTTGAAATACTGCTATATTCGCCCCTGCAGTTAAAATATGCCGCGAAGCCGATCATCTCCGCAACTGAAGAAATAGCGCCAATCTTGCACTCGGCTATATTCCCTAAGGTCGAGTGCATTCCCGAAAGGCCATATTCACCGACAATCCGACTAGATCATGACGTCAGTCCGAAGTGCACGTACATCGGTCCAGACTTCTGTCAATCCTCCTTTGAGGTGAACCGCCGCGGAATTCAGTAGACGTCACTACTGTATACGATCTAAACCCCAGTTTGCATAACTGTGGTATCTTTTGTTAATTACATACAGCAGTACCAGTGGCGTAGCCACTGGTACCGCTACAGTACTACTACTGGTACGTTGCAGCGTGGCCGCCTCATTCAGAAGGAGGAAAAAAGTTTAAGCGGAAAGACAGGGAGGTTAGCTAGTTCTTAGACCGGCTGGCTACCCTGTGCTGAAGAAAGGGGTGAGGGGAATAAAAGATGTTAAAAAGAAATGTTGCGAAGAGAGAGAGAAATTGCAAAAAAAAATGCGACAGAGGAAAGGCAACATCAAAGAGTATAAGACACTAAAGTCTGTCTCTTAGGCCAGTTGTCCGCGAAATGCGCAGCAAAGCTTTCAAAGCATTCTGGGCTGCGGATGGGCTCGGCCAATGACCCAGAATTCTTTGTTCCGACAAAGGCCGATCGCCCAGTCTATCCAGAACCACATTCAAATTTTAAAAGCACTAGGCACATGAATAGAAAATGCAGTATCTGTACCAATTTGTATTCGATACGGCAAATGACTTCTTGAATACTGTGCACGATTAAGAACGAGAAAAAAATCTGTTTTTTTTTCATAAAGAATATTATGTTAGGCATGCCCACAAAATTTTTCAGAAATAACTGTCAACAATGTTTTCAAATTCGTGTGTGTGTGTGTGTGTGTGTGTGTTTGTGTGTGTGTTTAAAAGGAACAGAAAATACCATGATTATCACGCAAACCGTTTTGAAACTGCGTCAGTTTTAAACTCAAGAAAAGCCCGATGACAAAAATGAAGCCCGCAAAATAACCAGGAAGAAGACACATACTGCATTGCAGATTATTTATACAAAAAACTTTTTTTATACAAAAACTCTTTTTTTGCACTCATGCTTCGGCCAGGAAAAAAAACGAATATGGGAAAGTAAATTTCAAGTATGGGCAAAACACAGTCCACCGGAAACACTGGGTGCAGTATGCTTACAGAAAAGCTGGCAAACGTGCATTTAAATATGCGATCAACGCCGATAACTTAGCAAGGATCCCTAGAAACAATAAATGGAAGCCACAGACATGCCCAATAACTGAATATGTTCGGCAACGCCACGTATGCAACCTCTCAGTGAACAAGGGGAAGTTGTCGATTAGCTGGTAAGGTCCACGTGATGCTCGTATTCCTATGTTTGTATCAGGTCATGCTGTCAACTGCTAAAACGGACAAGAGCGTCGAGGTTTCAAAAGGTGATGAACAATAATGTTCCATCATAATTATTGGCTTATTCACTGTAACTCTCGAACGGCAGTTTTTTTTTTCCGCTAGCGCTGATTTTTTTTTTCCTGGTTGGTATGAAAGTACAAAGTTGACTCAGCGAGGAAGTTTGGCGAAGCGGTCAATAACTTCCGACCCGCTGATGTCGACATCTCTGGGGGCGTACTGAAGTGCCAGGCCAACCATGCGTTTCAGACATCGTGAATCGTAAGCAGTTTTTAAGTATAACCTCATGCTTGAAAACGTTCTCTGTGCGCTGGCAGTGGTCACTGGAACGGTGACTATAGAATCTGCAGCAGCTTGTTCACATTCGGATAGAACCTGCTGTCGCAATGAAAGAGGGAATCGTTTCCTGCAGTGCTGCAGCCGCTGGTTTGCTACTTTGTTCTGCCACTTTGTCCACCATAGACGCAGTTCCGCTAAAGCAGCCCTCGTTTCGACGTCATGCGTAAAAACGATTGAAGATTTTTCGCTCCTTTCATTCGATGATCTTGCAGTGGGGATATTGCGAATTGTACAATTACTGAAAATTTCTTTTTGTCCTGTGTTTTTCGAACTATTGGTATAACTGGGCTAATACGTGGTCCGTAAAAGGAATGAATAGGGTTCTGCGAAAATATTCTTTTTGGCTCTCGAATTCATTGGTCCCACGATCTTGCTTTCAGACACCAGCTCAACGGCTGGTGATTTCCCCATGCAGTTTTTCTGCTAATGCCTGCACTTGTGCAAATATTTATTAGGAAGAAGCATTAACATTCTCGGGGTCATTTGGAATTGTCTGCTGCACCGCTTCTATGTCGTCAATGGCATCGCTAATGTCACAATGGCTTCTCGCCTGCAGCTTTTTTAACAGCGGCAAAGTCAGTGCTGAC